TTGTCACCATACGATTCGATCGTGATGAATCAGCGGGATTTGGTTGTTCAATACTTGTGATTGATTGTGTGAAGTAATTGAGTGAAGTTATTGAATCAAAACGAACGAATCAATCTCGATTGATACTATTTTACATAGTCTTTTTCAGAAATTACATTTACACTTGCTCGGGTATCAGTTTTCATTTGCAAATGTTTGTTTCTTTTTTTCCACCATGTTTGGAACTAATTTATTCTCACCTGAATATGATTGGATTGGTGACTTTATATTTAGAAAATGTCTTTAATCTCTACAAAGGAATAAAATACAGGACTGCTAATGCTATTATCTAGTAGCAGATACTCAATCCAAACTTGTGTTCTTAAGCCAATTGAAGTGGAAATTACAGGACAATAAAATGTATCTACGACAATAACTATCATATCTTAGATTACAATTAAATAACAAAAAGCTAATTTACGGGGCTAACAAAATGCTTGGGCACTTAAAATAATTTTTACGTCTCGTAGATTTACATTTTATGAGTTAGAGTTATCTTCGTTAACTTAATTTGAAGTTGTTACGACCGAAAACTCATTTATTTGCACTCACTTAAACGCATAAAATGGGGTTTTTATAATGTTTCTTTGTAGCTCATTTAATGGAATATCTAAACAAATACGGGTGTCTAATCCTATATTTTTCTTTAAGGGCAATTAATTTGGATGTAAAATTGCTTAAAAATATATACTTTGTTCCAAAGCCCTACAGATCTTGGCTTTAAAAACAGAGATGTTTAAAATATATGATTTTGATTTCAATCAAGGATATTAAAACTGGAAAGCACACACAAACACCCAGCATTTATTTTTACTCTACTGAATAGGTTGAGGAGGGGAAGAGCTCTCTGTCTAAGGTTTGTCATTTAGAATAAAATTATATCTGTGTTTAATTTAATAATTTCAGGTAAACAAAAATGTTTATTGCCATTAATATTATTTACATTCCAAACTTACGATATATGAAACTTTGAAGAAGGTAAAGTGCGTAGGGACGGTGCTATATACCGTGATGCTATAACAACAAGATATGCTCACTTGCTGTTCCAATTTTAATTGACTTTGCACATGTCGTCATAGCGAGACAAAGCCAAAGGACTTGTATGTATCATATTTTAACGATGCATCATATGACAACGTTGTTCCATTACTGTAATGAACAACTTCAAAACTTAAACTGTTGCACTAAGAAGTCATAACTAGTTACTTTCTGTGAAAACGTGTTTTGAAAATTAATAAGTAATTTGTAAAATTAATTAAAGAAATGTATGAATCTACAATTTGATTGTGTGTATTACAAACAAAATAAATATTGCTACAAAACATAAATTAAATATAAAAGGCCGGCAAAATGTAAAGAATTTGACCATAAAGGAAAAGCGGGTCAAATTTGAGACTTTATGAATATCATTTAGACATTTATTTTACAATCTTTGTGATTTTTCTTTTGTGGTATTGTAATTATCTTTAATATTTTGATTTAGAATTCGTATTTTAAAATACATTTTACATCTAAAAAAAGTAATTTTACATCTTCGCTGACATTTACATATTTTTGAGCTTCTATTAAGTTTTTTAAATAATTTTTTGTTATTTTTAATGTGTAGCCATTATAACTACGAAAAATATGTTTCAGTTTACTACATACATCCAAAGTAACTTAAGACCTATCAAAAATAAAGTATTACTTCAAGTTCTATTAAAATGGGCATTATTATATTATATTATTATCCATAGAAACATTTACTCTGCTGTTATTAATATTGATATATTAATTTCTCTGCTGTTATTAATATTAATTCTTTTTATTTATATAACTAGAATTGCATCAAATGAAAAATTTAATTTTAAAGTTTAACTTGCTGTCATTCATTTTGTCAATTTGGCATTTTGACAAGTTGTCTCGGGCCTACGTCACAAGAACATGCGCGTTTGACTTATCTTGTTTCGTTATAATATCATGGGTCTATGCCTATGCTCACAGTATATACCATAAATAGTAGTGTAAGTAAAATAGGACAGGTGGAAAGAGTAAGTTGCATAGGCCCAGCCGTGCGTAATGGCGACGGCGCTACTAGTCACGTTAGGTGAAGGTATGACATAGCAAAAGGCGTATGACGTTGATGTAAGTGCTGTTGTCATGGTTTCATATTTACAAATATTTGCATATCATTGCATATTTACAATAATAATAATTATATTACACAATGTTTTCCAAAAATCAAAGATTGTAGCAAATTCTACTACAATCACAACTTAAATTTACAATAACTTATTTAGAGTTTTGAGTAGCCACCGAAAAAAAAAATAATATATGTAAGTGGTTAGTGGCAACATTGTAATCCACGCCTTTGCAAATTGCAAATGGCGTTATAAAAACATTGTATCCCAAGCAGAGATTCTTACATATCACTGATCCCAAGTTTTAAAAATACGAAAGTAAAATAGTCATCAATTTTTATATATCTAATAAACTTTGCTAAAAAAGAAGAATGTATAATATTAAAATGGTATAGTATTCCAAATCGAAAAAAATCCAAAGAATATTTTTTTGCATGGATGAAAGTTAGTTAAAGTTGGACGAAGTGCTATTAAACATTCCGAGGATTAGAAGTTACCAGGTAAGAACAGATGAATCTTTTGGTTATATACTTTATAAAAATCATTAAAACTCCTAACTCTTATAATTTCATTCCTAAAAGCTGCCTTATTTTATAAAAAAAAAAGTCATTCATAAATTCTTTATTTTAATTATATTTCATTATTATAGATTTTCATGGACCTTCTCCTTCTGACGTGTAGTTACATGCTAATTTGTGATGATCCTCAAGAGCAAGATCGCAGAAATGCTATGTAGAGTTTACTCTTTATTATCTACAAATGATCCAGTAAGGAAGAGTATTTTAGAAGATAATGGAACTTATAACAAACGAGTACTAATGAATATAGAGGCATCTATATGTGTTTACCAATGGGAAGATCTCCAACACTATGGGAAAATTAAATGAGGATTGATAAAAAATTCTTAGATAAAGTTGTCCATCTGGTACAGGATCACAGCCAAGGGAGACAGCAAACTAACAATATGTATTTAGTATTTAGAGTGTCCCCAACCACACCCTGACAGAGCTTAAGAATAAGGAGGAGGAGGATATTTGTTGCCAATCCTTTACCAAAAAAAATTATACAAATAAACAAGTGTCTGGATATCTGTGTTTTATTTTGTTGTTTTTAGGACTTTGGTTTGTCAACGTAATAGAAAACAAATACAGTCATAAAATAACAAGTCTCTTTGTCTATGTTATGTTACACATTTATATAAAAAAATGCATAAGTGTATTCTATATTTTTGGATAGAGAGAATATATTTTTTTGGCGTAAAATAAGCTTTTATTTCTTATTTTATGACTATATATATTTTTCATTAAAAGCATCCTTTTTGAATTTTGCCCCCCAATATTCAGAGCATATTTTTTTAATTTGCTGCCTAAAATTCAGAACCTGGTTTTAAATTTGCCGCCAAATGAAATTAGTTTCGGCCCGTCCGCATTTGGCGCTAATACCTTTCTAAAATATTTCTATTGGACTTACCTTCCTAGAGGGCTATTTACTGTGGTCTAGGTTAATATATGCGTATATTATGGATTATTAAGAAGTTTTGTAGCTTTGTAGTCCGTAAATTGTTGTGCGTCAAAACACATAATATATGACTTTTCACACGAATCCGTTAAATTTGTTTTCTGATCCGCCATTTTGAATTTTGGAATGGACCACAGGAGTGATGACGTAGATTTTATTGACATTTGTCAGTTTCACTTTCCAAACAAACCTTGTTTAGTGTGGATAATTTGTATTTTTAGTTATTTTTTCATTTATTTTATAGAATCTTTCCGCTTTTTGCAATATTTAAGTATTCTAATAGTTACTACAACAATTTTACAAGGTTTTGTAAATAATAAAGCACATTGTTTTATGCTAATAGCTATAAAATGCATGTATCAATAAAGTAAGGTTAGAATTTCTTTAATTTAAACTTTTAAACTATATTTCATAGAAATAGAACTCTGAATTATGATGGTATTATCGTAAAAAATACTACTTTATAGAAATTAAAAAGTCTTGAGATTTGACATTTCAACTTTTGTTTGAAACGTAATAATGACAATGTGACAATCGTGACGTCACACTCCTGCGGTCCATTGTTGAGCTAAAAATACCTTATATCCAAAATTTCACACGAATCTGTACTTTTAATTTTGCAATTCTGACATCTAATTTGTAATCAGCGACCCATAAATCGATAAAGACATAATTTTGTGGGTTTTTGGATTCAGTTTTGTTGTATGTTTAGGCTTCAGAACGAATTAGCCCATTGTGCGTATTGGTAAGCGTAAGTCGTCTTGACACCAGAAGACACCTGGTCCCAGTGGTCTTGATGTTAATTAGCGAAAATAAGCTATTATAGCTAAATAATTGATTATATGATTTTGGGTATATTGACGTCATTCGTTTTTTTATGCTCAGTATTTCACACAGCTCATTTAATACTTGGAACTCGAAATTCCTACATTGGTCTGAGCGTAGGTAGAGTGAGAAAATGGATAAATAGGCTGTGAATAAGAGCTCCAGCATTAATTATATTTTAAAAAAGTTTTATTTATTTTTCCATCTAAAATTTTTGTTTTATTTAACTGTGTACGATTTGTCACATTTTAATTACTTAATGGGCCAATTTTTTTCTTCTTTATGCGTTCTATCGTCATTCTATTCATACCAATAGCTACTTTGTCATTTCTTAATTCACACTCAACAATTTCTTTATGAGCATTGGCATCAAATGTTCACTTAAAACTATTTAAAATAAATTGAAACTGTGTACTTTAAATAAATTTAATAAAATATGTAATAAAAGGTACATTTGTATGGTAAATAGAAAACTATAAATAATTGATCAATATTTAGCTACGTTTTTAAATAATTTTCCGAAAATGTGAGCAATCTGTATCGTTGCTTCAGGTTTCTGGCTCTGACGTGAGGATTTATTATTTCTACTGTGTAGTTTGCAGGAAACCAACCAGTGTGACCGTCGCGTAGCCTTTCACCATGATACCAACCTAAAATGAAAAAAAAATGGTTATAATAGCAATCAATATAAAAAGTACAATGTTTATAATTAATAACACATTATTGTTATTTGAAATAGAAAACTTCCACGATCAGAGTCGTAATCAATTAAATTGGGAAGTTTGTCTTTCTTGGATCCCCTGTATACGAGTCTATCACAATCTTTCACTACCCTCATATATAGATAGCTTTTTTATGAGCAGAAAAAAGCTGTTGGTCCCAATACCTTAAGTACTTTACCTTACCCGAGAGGAAAACTAACAGAGAGTGAGGTATAACTTTCTACACCCCATTATACGGGCAAGATCGCCCGAAGAAGTGGCTCAGGCCAAAAAAAACATTCTGGCTTCGAAATCTCCAACAGGGGTATCAAGAAACATCTGCTAATGTGTTTTGAGTTGCCGTAAACAAAGTTATTATTGCCAATATGATCGCCAACGTTCGATAATCGGACAAGGTAAACTAAAAGAAATCATCTTCAGATGAGCCTTGGACGAATCAGAAGATGATACTGCAGTAAACCAACTTATAAATAATATTAGATAGGCAGACGATACCGTTATGCTGGCAGATAGTGCGCAGGGACCCCTAGGGGTTATTGCTGTAGAAGCGTGTTACAAATACGGTTACAAATAAAACTAAATTGTAAGAAGACAAAAAATAATATTTATTCCGGAGCACACCTCATTTAAATTTGCCGCTAATGTCCAGTTTGAACTGATTTTAGTTAAAAAACGTTTTGGCAACAGTGTGACATATGTGTTTAAAACTCGATTCAAGACCTTAAAATCTCAACAGATGGTTTTGACAGTGTTGCCGAATGGGGCAAAAATACTCGAGAGTTTTTCAGGGCAAAACTGCAAATGCGTATTTTTCCCCATTATCATAAATTAATTTTGTTTCTACTTATTTCAGTAATAAATATTCCATATCTAAATCTTGGTTCCTGTTTTCCAGAAACTACAAAAGAAAATCATAGCGCAAGCCTTTGACAGAAGTTATTTTATGCAAAGCTCGTGAACTTAGTAATAATGGCGTTTCTATACATTAGACCGCAAAAGCAGTGGGATTTCATGAAGCGACATTACAACAAAAGGTTAAAAAAAGGAAATGGTGTCCAACCTTTAAGCAAATTTAAAGCAGTTATAGAGGAGGCCATATAACGGTTAGAGGCATTTGAAATGTGGTGGCACCGATGTGTGTTAAGGGTCTCATATATACACCACACAACTAACATAACTATTCTCCAGAGGCTAAGAAAATACAAAGAAATTGACATAAAGAACAGAAAATTCTACAATCAAATTTACAAGGCAAGATTGAGGCAAGAGAGACTCTGGACGTAGACGTATACCCTGGCTGATCAATCTTAGACAATGGACTAGTATAACGTCAGCTAATATATTTCGAGCGTGTATAACATAAGATAGATCAATATGGTCGCCGACAATATTATAAGATAGGTACAGTTATATTAAAAAAAAAAGGTACAAGTATTAGAAAGAGAAGTTAACGTCATCCTATTTGTGTAAAACGGCTGGGATTTTTGGAGGTTATCAAATGTCACAGGTTATTAAAAATACAAATCATTGCGTTGAGCATTAATTAGACGAAACCATTTATTCAACAATTATATAAAGAATAATTTTTAATGACTGTTACAAATAGTATTTGGTGATAGAACCGTCTGCTTCTATAACTTTATTTAGTCTATTTGGCATACTTTGAATTATATTAGATATCATATTTGGATCAAGATCTTCCCAACACTCTAAGATTGTATCCCACAATTGATCTGAATTTTGTGGCATAAAATTTCTTTTATATATTTTTTTAACAATTATGTCCCAAATGTTTTCAATTGGATTTATATCTAGACTGTGCGCAGGCCATGGCAATACTTCCAGGTTTTGCGTTTTAAAACCAATTCCTTACGGCATGGGCAGTGTGGACTGAACAATTATCTTGTTGATATATAAAAGTATTATTAGGATACAATTGCTCAATAGAAGGGAGCATTATGTGTTCCAAAACGTTAATGTAATTGTCGGCAGTAAATCTTCCATTCCATCTAATCGCCAACAAACACCAGGTCCATGTATACTAATCCAATCCCATACATTTACAGAAAAACGTCCAGATTTATTATGAGAGTGAATATATCGTTCTTCAAACCTAGTATTGGCTGGACGATAAACACGGATTTGACCGTTATAGGTCGACTGAAAAGTCTTTTCATCAGCAAAATGACGTTTTTCCAAAATTGTGGCTTGCGGTAAATATAGTTTAGTGCAAATATTACTCTTGCTTGCCGATGTTCAACAGTTACTAATGGTTTTTTAGCAGCTTGGTCGGTTTTTTAATTCATATTCGTTGATCCTTCTGCTTACAGTAGGTTGGGCTCCAGGAAATCCCGTATGAATCCTTGAATCCTTCGACGTCGCAAATGGATTATCTCTTAAGAATTGAACTAAAGCAGCATCTTGTTGAGGAGTGGATACTTTGGAACGCCCTGAACCAACTTTTCTTTTTAATGATTGTTGTTGGACCCATCGTTGCTTAATTCTGAAGATTGTTTTCAAATTTATATTATAGAAATTTGCTAGGCGCACGAATTGACCATCCTTCTTAGATTTTCGTAATTATTTGAGCCTTTTCAATCTCATTTAAATGACGAGGCATATTAATTTTCTATTGTACGTAACGTTACCTTCTATCAAATTAAACGTCTTTGACGTCTATGAGTTGCATTTTTGATCACTTATGACCTTTGATAATCTCCAAAAATCCCAGCCGGTTTTTCACAAATAGGATGACGTGAACTTCCCTTTCTAATACTTGTAACCCTTTTTTTAATATAACTGTACTTTTGGTTTATGGTAGAAAAAATAGGAGCAGCAAACTGGCAACAGTTTGGCAATGGATAGAACCAACTGACGTAATAGACTTGGGAAGGTCGATGTTCTTTTATACCAACTTTTGGTTTACATTTTTAACTAAATACAATGCATACAGTTTCATGAATATCGATCTTTTGTTTTAAAGATACTTACTTTGTTTCATACTTTATTCCAAACCCGTAGTTCGTACTATAAGAGATCCTTTTATCTTTTTTAATAGTGTTTTGTGTTATTTAAACACAATAATAAAAGTTTAATCAAAAACTATAACCTTTTAACTTTATATCCATCTGTTGTTATACGAATAAAATCCTGATGGTTATAAAATGCTGATATATTATACCGGATTCTGCATGCTGGATATAATGTAAAAAATATATTAAAATTTCGCAGCGTGACCAAAGCGAAACATTAAAAATTTTATTTTAAACCAAACAATAGAATTTTATTTTGTTTCATTGCCTTTTGTGCACGGTCATTATGAAATATTTGAAATATAAATAAAACTACTTCAAAGGTTGAAATAAACGTATAGATTCGGCCGTGTGTGATACAATAAAAGGTATCAAAATATGCAAACAATAATTGTAAAATAATTCATTGTAGTTTTAACAGAATGCAGTAATGTATTTCAATATTCTATGCTTTATTCATTTAGAACTGGTTTTGTGATATAAAATAGGTATATATACGCCAAATCATTGATACTGTTAATTTTTTTTTAATATAATATTCGTAAACATCGTAAATTTTGATGTACACATTTTTAACTATATACATTCAGGTGCAAAAAAATCGATCCATGGGTATTATTTGCTGAAAAAAGAAAACGTTTGAAGATATGAGTTTTAAATCAGTAGACATGTAAAAGTATATGTTATATTAAAATAATTTTTACAGTATTATCCAAAAAAATCATTTATTTATAGAGACATACGCCAAAACTAAAAAACTTTGATGGTATACAAGGCAACTATCGAACACAGTAATTAATTAAATCTTGCCCAAGTACTTTCGATCAATAGATCATCTTCAGGGGCATTTCGTCAGTTGTGGCCTATCCGACATGAGTAGAATGTCATACATGTAAATTTGGACATAACAATACAATACACAAAGACAAACAAACACTTTAAAATTTTTAAAAAGGAGAAGCTACATCTTATATAGAAGCCGGAGACAGAATTAGCATTCTGTCTCCGGCTTCTATATAATGTTAAAGAGGTAGGTTAATTTCCCGACAGCATCATCATTCAGGTGTTTAAAATGTTCGGCTGTTGTTAGATCTTCGCCGGGTGCCTTGTTGTTCTTTGCGTCTTTTATTGCCCGCATAACTTCTTCGGTTAGAATACTTAGTTTTCCATCGGTATCTATTTGTTGGGGGCCCTTCTGCTCTCTCGATCACCAAACAAATGTTTAAGATATTGTTCCCATATTTCCTTCTGTTTTTCAGGGTCTAATTCCATTTGGTTTTTCGTGTTTGTTACAATAGATAAATGTTTGGGTTTCCATATCCCAGCGACTTCTTTCACCTTTCTGTGTAATTCTCTATCTTTATGCTTCCTTTGCAGATCTTCTACCTCTTTACATTTTTCTTTCATCCACTCTTCCTTAGCTACATTTATCTTTCTCTCAATTTTCCTGTTAAGCTCTTTGTATCTTGTTAGGTTTTTGTTTTTTTACCATCTGTCTCCTCTCCATAATTTGTAATATTTCGTTTTTCATCCATGGTTTTTCTTTGTTTACGGTTTTCTTTCTGTATATTTTGGTTTGCTGCCTCCAGGACAGTATTTTTAATTTTTCCCCACATGTCTTCAATGTTTTCTTTTATTGTCTTCTCTTTAGTGGGAGCTAATGTCTTAGACTCTAAACTGCGTGTCTTACCATGTCTTTTTACATATGTTTTTGTCCCTGGTCAGCACTACTCCATGCTACTCTCTGACTGGGTTTAGCCTTGCCAACTCTTTAAGTTTTATTCTGACAGTTGCAACTACAGGATTTTGGTCTGAATATATGTCACAGCTTGGGTACGTTTTTACATTTAGAATACCATTACGGAACCTTTTATTAATTGTAATGTAGTCGATTTGGTTCCTCACAATATTTCCTCTGCAATCTTGAGGAGTAATTCATCCCAAACGCAAGCAACGCACTGTAAAAGATGAAAGTTGACCAACTTTTCCGTTACAGTGCGTTTCGCTTACGTGCCGTCATGCGTTTACGTTCATTTATAAATAAGAGTACACAAAATTCTATGTTGATCTTTTTCCAGTGCGTCTGCGGATACAGCCGTCAAACTATAAATCCAGCTTAAGGTACAAGAGTTCTTTTGTATATTACAGTCACTTTTGTGTTGAGTGACACGTTGTTCAAGCCACTGTTGACTTTGACCAATATAACAATTTTTACATTGACTGCAATTTATTCGGTAAATTATATTACTCATTGAGAATAACTTTTATTTTTGAGAATAACTTTGAATTTGGAAGTAGCTTGTATTTCTAGTAGTATAGAATGCTTTGAAAAGTGGGACAATTTAATAATAATAATAATTTATTATTTATTATGTATATTACGGTATACCGCAAGGTTACTACACGCGTTTAGATTTTTCGAGTTACGAAGAACAGGATTTCTAGCCCATGAAAAACATCATACTGAGTGATGAGAAGTATTCACTTCAAAATAATTCAAAATAAAAACATTTAAGGGAGCCTTATTAGTGCTTTTCTTATACTCCGTATCGTTACCTTTTATATTGTACACCCTTAAAGTCAGGCCTTAGTGATTTTCCATAATTTTTTGTGTCCTTTGGTATTTTATAAACATTAAACAAAAATTTTTATACAGTAATACCAAAAATTATAATTTTTTATAATAAAACATTCAATTTTTTCTAACAATAAAAAATAATTACCATCAGTCATTTTTCTCAAGACATTAATTACATCTCCTCTGGATAAGGATAATTCGTCAGGCTGACAGCCATTGTAGTTGTGCATAGCCATCACTTGGGGACAATCCCAACATTCATAGAGCGTTTCATCTGGATTTTCTGATTTCGGGGGACTGAAAGCTTCGATCCATCGTTCTTTGTCAGTTTCCGTTAGAGCAGAAAGCAGCTAAAAAAATCATAATTAAAAATTAACCCTTGTAAAGGCTTTATCTAGTTTAATTAACTATTGTTGTGTAACTATTACAGAGGATGTAAAGGTAACAGAGGAATAAATGGTATAAAGATCTTCTTGTCATAAAATATTACCAATTTTCGACCTTAAATCAATAAATTTCTACAAATTATTTGATTTATATACAGTGAAGGGCAAATTATATATACTTCATCTAATTTACATAACCGACATCGGCATTCATTGCCCGTGGACGTTACATGATACCCAACACAGAATATTTAGGCGGTAGGTGGTGTTCTTTTTTTAGAATCAGCCGAGTACACTGGCATTACAGCCAATAAACATATTTTATTATATACGCGTAGAAATAATATTTAAAGATTTCTATTAATGTTAACTAAATAAATACACAATAATATTGTTTCATTTATTTGTATAAATGCATTATAAATCGTTTTTTATTAAGAACATTTGTCAATTGTTCGGAACACACTGTAAACTGTAATCGAACCAAGGTGAAATTTTTGGCTTAAATTGGTATACACTTATTTGACAGTTGCGGTTGGTGTTGACACTTTTTGTACTTTATTATTTTGAATTTTAAAGGGAATACCTCTTGTTTTATATTTTATACCTATTTAATAAAATATGTTCTTTTTGCAACAAAATTAGAGTAATAGCTCTTTGATTCATTGTTTTGAACAGGATATTATATTCGATCTCTATCTAATCACTATCGATCAGAAAACGAATTTTAATATAACTGAAGAAAAAAGAAAAAAGCATTTGAAAATTTAATTGTAACAAATCATTTCAAAGTAAATAAGTAATGAAATAAGTGTATGTTTTTATTTAACTATTTCATTTTACATCTTTATACGACGCATACAAGCGGCTCAAATTGTTTTTAACAAGATTATTTTGTAACTCTTGATTTGATTCTATTTATTTACATTAAATATTAATTTGTTTTGTTGTATAATCCACTTTTGCAATAATTCTGTGACCTATTTGATTTAAAATTTATTCAGGATGATTTTTATACTTTGGCAACTATGTCAACTTCGATCTCTGACGTAGATAATAACGTGAAACGGTATGTAAATTAGATGCTACGCCACCTAGGAAAGAAATGTTTAAAAATATTGTAGTTCTAATTCAAATACCCATAGGGCATTATTTAGAAAATTAAAACAACCAATAAGGAACAAACTGCTTTATAGGTAGTAATGTCAGTGTCATATTTTAGCAGTAAGCTTGTAGCTAAACTAGAATGAAAAGTGAGCTTTTAAAAGTTGGTTGGTAACACGCCCGTATAATTTAATACCTAGATTATTTTCCATGTTTTATGACTCCACATTTATGTCTTTGTGTGGAAGTGCCAACGGAATTCCGGAGATATCCTCCAACTGCACTATTTATATTAAATAAGGTAATACGCATAAATAGCAGCTTGCTTCTTCAAGCTGACACGATCTAATTTACATGAATTTTCATATCAAATTTTATTCATATTATATTATATGATTCTCTTTATGTCAGTTATTCCAAAGTCAATGTACAAAACGTACATAAGTATTTTATATTTAACTTAGTACGGTAATGGATAGGAGCTGGGTTAATTTTATAAATTGTAAGAGTATAGCTTAACGTTACTTTTCTATATATACTACAATTTGTATCCTTCACCTAGTTCCTACGCTCTATAATTTGTTCACAATTTGTCGATAGCTCACTACAAGTTTAACCCTAATTAAAGAACTGAAATACAGAGAGGATAGGTAATACGATATAATAGTAAAAACCAACCTGAAACTGACGGTTAAAGATGTTTTCGACTAACCCACCTTGTATCTAAGGAATACAAAACAGCAATCAACCTTATAATCCGATTAAGAAGGTATTTTGGTTACAGATGACCGACCAGTGTCGTAGAGTAAATGATGGAAACATTTATTTAAACTAAATAAATATATTTTTGAAATTGTACTTACATCAGTTGAAGTTGTATTAAATTAGTCGCATAAAGAAACATATAAAAACTATTAAAGAAAACATACTATTAAAGAAACATTTCTGATCTTAGTTCCTATTTACAAAATCGTATGCCATTGTAGATCTTTTTGTTACCTACTACTTTGCTATTACAGCACTTGCAGTTTCTTAAATGCCCCCCCCCCCCACTTCCCGACCTCGTATGCAGTGTAATTTATTTTTTCTTCCAATTTTAGCATATTCTCTTCGTTTTCCAATAGGTTTCATTCTACTATAATTTTTCTTGAATTTTTACCTGTTTTAAAGGCTTCGACACTGGTGTAATATTCAATTTTAGTTTTTATTAATAACTTTTTTAACTTTGTTAATTGAACTCAAATTTTAAGTGTCTACAATTAATTTGTAATTATCAATAAATATATAAGTTGTAAAACGAACGTATTCCTTTTATTTGTTATTATACTCTTTCAGATACAACTTGTTATTTGACTATATTAATTTATCTTTATGTATTATATATCATAGTTTATTAAAAATGTATTGCATCTGTTTAGATTATGATTAAATCTTCTGAATAACTAGTCGTATTTGTATAGTAGTTTTAATAATATTAATTCTAGCCCTGATTCCACCGCCATATTGGTATGATCGTTAGCCACATGGACGTATAAACGTAGATGGGCACAGCAATAAGATACCTTTAACACACAATGTTTTGAAGCTTCGATAGAATGTGATGCTTCCGCAATGAGCATAAGCGTGCTTGAATTTTTACTCGCGGGTAATTATTCAGATGTTAAAAATTGGAAGTAGTAATAATGTATAAAAACACGTTCAAAGATTAAAAAAAAAACGAGATTTTAACTATTAACAAATCACGTCTTTACAGAAAAATTAAAATACAATTTTATTTGCTTTAAAATTGATACTAATTAAATATAGTTGAATGCAAGTTAATTTTTTAATAGTATCAAAATATTGATACAATAAAAAATCTTTTATGTTTTTTCCAAAATTTGCTACCTAAATAGTTCGATCGTCAATATTATTTGGAAACCTACATAGAAAAATAAATGAGTTTTATTCATTTCACTAATTTATTTGTATCCATGAGAAATATTAATTTAAAAAGGTACTAAACAGATCTTTTTTAATGATGTCTACTTACAATTTATAAATGTCTACTAATTTCATGAACTCATATCTTATTCAATACATTAATGAACATGAATAAACCCAATGGTACGCCTATTAAAACGTAAACTAACACGCTTCCTCATTTCCTCATCTTAAATAATGTAAATTGTATGTACTTACAAATGAAATGAGAGATCGGGATGTAAATATTTCGTTTATTTTATTTCACTTTTCACAAATATCACTCAAAATACAGCCAAAATATGAAAAATAACTTTTTACTCATTTACTGTTAAAAGTAAACAAACATGGAACAGCATTTGAAGTTTGACGTAGATCCATAAGGCAGAGAAATGTAAACAACCGTTGCCATTTATAAATAGTTTTTAGTGCTTCTACATATAAAATAAATGATTTATATCTATTATACGCTATTATTAAATGATAATGCACACTATGTGCACACTTGATATTTTGATTACAATTAAATATATTAATATAACCAATAAATTATTATTTTGTTTTGATAGCACCTGTAGAGTATAAAATAGGGAGTAATATTTTCAGCGACTCGCGAATAAGAAATTTTAAAACAAAACGTGACAACAGTTGAAGGTGCTCAGAATGTGACATATTCAAATAATTTTGACTTCACAATTTTATGTAAATAACTGAGTCCATCTGTGTTTATACGTCCATGGTTAAGCCACACCTACTGACGCCGTTTTTAATACACACATAAATAGCTTCTCCATAGATTCTAACTGGATGTGGCATTCTAAATTGTTCTGTCACTTGTCTTTTACTTGATTACAAAGGCGTTGTCACAGAACTCGAAATTTTCAGTGGACAAATCAATCCCTGATCTTCCATAAGACTTTTTGGTTGGATATATGGTGTTATACCGGACAATCTATTGTATAGAAAATATTGTTATGATTTTTATTACTAAGTGTATAAAATAGTTGTGTTTTAAACAATAATTCACAAATATTGTCAAATTTATGCAAAAAATTCCGACTAATAGACTGTCAATCAAGATTAAAAAAAAAACGCGGAAGAATTTAATTATTGACGGTTTGTTTTTCAATATTTTTTACACAAATGAATTACTTTAAAGCTCTTCGAGAACTTTCAAAAATAAATTCATAAACAAATATTAAAATAATAAGATAAAATTTTCATTTATTTAATTCATTGATGAATTAATATTTATTTTTAATGTATTACTAAAATAACAGTTAACTTCTAGATAAAATTTGCATAATTGTCAGATTCATATTCACAAGCTCATTCCTTTAAAACCTATTAACTATACAGAGTAAAGTACTTACAAATTCCACTACTTTTTTATGGTGATTCTCCAACACGGATAAGTACAATAAATTTTTGTCCATAACATCTTTTTTCCTTAATCCTGGAAACATGTCGACACTCCTCAATTCTATAAAATTCCTTGGGCAGTAATGGATTACTGTATATAAGAATTCGCTGGAAAAAAAATTACTCAACTCAATTATGCAGATTCAATTATGGAGAATATAAAATATTAGATTCAGTTTTTAGGATGTTTATTGAATATAAAATATTCTTAACGTTTCTTAACGTGTATTTAAGCCGATTTTATTTATTAACAAGGAATTTACTCAACACATATCATCATTCAATATTCGCTTGTCCACTGATGGACATAGACCTCCCTTAAAATTTTCATCTGTTTCGATCTTGTGCTTCTTGCATACAATTCCTATGGCAACGATTCAGATCGTTAGTCCAACGATACATTTGTACGCCAAGGAACAAATAATAGAACAGATAACTTCCATAAAATATTTGGGAGCAAATATCAACAGCCAGCGTAACCCAAAATAAGAAATCCTGTCAAGAATCGAACAAGCGAGGAAAACAGCCATGAACATGAAAACATTATTTACAAGATCAGATCTTAATCTAGAGCTCAGAATTCGAATGATCAGATGTTACCTTATTTTCTGTTTTAGCTGTTCCATGCAAGACACCAACAAATGGTCTCATAAAGTCACATTCTGGAGACCCCGAGAAACAAAAAAATACGTGGGAAGACCCAAAAAGAGATGGATAGACTATATAATAGCTGTAGCTGGAAAACAGTGGATGAGAATTGCAAAAGATAGGGAAGCATGGAAGCAATTGGAGGAGGCCTATGTCCAACATGTATAAATGAAGGCTGAAGAAGAAGAATCAAAGAGAGAAAAATAAATACTTGCTTCATGTGTTGAGAGGTGAAAGATATGAATTACTCTTTACTGAAGATGAAGTGCAGGGCAAAAGATCAGTTGGAAGACGCCAGAACTCGTGGCTGAAAGACCTGGAGAGACAGTTTGACCTCTCATCCACAGAAACATTTCGTGGAGCCTTTTCCAAAGCTACACTTACCATTTAGATCTCCAACCTTCGAAAGAGACGGCGTAGTAAGAAGAAGAAAGTAGACGACAAATATCCTGGCTCAAAAGCAGAAGATAGAGATGAATTTGCAATGTTTATAGCCAACCTTTATTAGTGCAGTGGGCACTTGAAGAAGAAAAAGAACAAATTATGGATAAATCTATTTGACAATACTGAACAGCTCTACTATTATAAATTACAAATTAACTTACCTCTTCTTTTTGCTAACCACAAACAGATCATTAAATAAAAATATATGTAAACTAATTTTGCTAAAACGTCTTCCGAATGTCATTTTGGTATCATCGTTTCTTGATTGGTAACACATCAATGATCCTGACCTAATAATATATCTGCCTTGAGTATTAATTTCTATTGGTGGAACATCTTTGTCGAATACCAAACTCTCGGAAATTTTAGTAAGTTCTAATTCTTGTTCTTTCTTTCTAGCTGCTTCGTTGCATTGAGTTACAGTCTGAAAAAGAGTATTATTTAAAAATGTTACAATCGCAGTATATATACTTAAAATAATATTTTACAGATTGGATTTGGCAAAAGTCTACAGGGTTATAAGTCCTTATAAGAAATGAACATAGAACGGATATATATTACAACATAAATATACAGCCACACTAACAGTTTTATAGATCAAGAAAAGTTAAGTTTTTCAAAATGTATGGTAACTTTTTTTTATTAGAAAAAAATGTATTTTACGCAAAATGTGATATGTACATAATAATATTTATAAATAAAAACAAATCCAACAGACTATCGCTTTACGTTGAAATGTGAGAAAATAATGTCCTCGATTAGTTGACTGTACTCCAGTACAATTGACTTTTATAAGTCTATTTAGCTTTAAGCCGCGTTTTCACGATGGCAATTGGCGAGACAATTGTCATTGGATAATTGTCATCACGTGGTTTCGGATTGTCGGAGGCCAGTCCAGTTGAACGAGAATATGTTTATACGGGGCCAACTATTGCCATGGATGTAGACAGCTAAAACATGACAACTATATGTTTGTGCGTCATAGTGTTGCCACATTTTTTTGTATAAAGTATAGGAGTTTTTAAAATAGAAAGATACTTTGACGAAATTGTATATCATGTTTATAAAAAACTTATACAGAAGTAAAATGCTTCACACTTGTATTTAGGTATATATGTACTTAGGTAAATGTGAAGTGTTTTACTTCTGTAAAGTTTTTTAAACGATGGTATACAGCCAACTACTGGGATTTTTCCATTAATTTTTATATAATTGTTTTGTTATGAGAAGCCACAATTTTTGAATTCATATTAAAAAGCATTCATAAAATAGTATTTTTTACTTTAAAATATAGCTAAAGTATTTAGTGTATTCTTACGTTTAACCTAATTTTTTTTATTTTCATTTAACTTTTATTCTGTAGTTTTTAAAGTTTCTAAACTATTAAGTTTTACCTTAGCACAATTTTAATGGTTTTTATTATATTAAGTATTTTAAATGTAAGATATAATTTCATTTTATAATATTTATAGGTATATTTTTAAGGCTTTTAATTTATATATGTATTTTTCAATTTTAAATTTTCATTTCATATATATATAAATCTTGCCCATAATTTTATATTATGTGAGTGTGAGATAATTGAGTATATGTCAACACTGACGTATATTAAGCTTACATTTAACGTCAAACATATCTATAGGTGATGTTCATTGTACGAAAATTAAATTTAACCCAAATAACACAAATTACTACTGGCAGCACTACTGGCCTACAGCGTTCACACGGCACCAATTGTCGCGACAATTGAGATTTCGAGTGGTGGAGGGGCTAACTGGGCGCAGCTCATTGTCCTCAGTCTTCTCCCGGAGACAACTGAATTTTGGACCAATTGTGAGGGCAGTTGGCAAGGCAATTGGCCTGAAGTGTTTACACGAAGACAATAATTTCATGCCAGTCAGTTGTCTTCTAACAATTGTCTCGCCAATTACCATCGTGAAAACGCGGCTTTAGGTAAAATTTAATCTTACAGTTTTAAAAGACATTCACTTCAAAAAAAGTATGAATTCAGGCCCGTTTTCACGCTACGTCTTATTGTACGTTTTGTTGGATAGGACAAATCCTATACAATAAAACGTGCATGTAAACAGCAAAACGTACGTCTTGACGAATCGAAATGAAATTCAAGGTCAGATCGTAGAAATGGTGGGAGAAGCATACTTTTGCGAGAACTGATAGGATAAAAACGTTACGTGTAAATTACTTCTTCAGACAAGTCGTCCGATCTTGACTTCAGTCTCAGTGTTCCCAAACCTACCGAAAAATCGGTAGATGTACCGATTTCGCCATTTTTCTACCGATGTACCGAAAAAGACTTAAAATTTCTATCCAAATTTTATTTCAGATAGAAATTTTATACTTATTCTTAAATTTGAGAAGAAATAATAAGAAACAAAACAATTTTTCTTGCGATACCTGTAATTTGCATTAAGATTTTTGTGTATTCATGAAAACGTTGTCAAAACATTCAAAAATTTATTCTTAAATGATACCTAAGCGGTAATTTACGAAGTACATGATGTCATAAAAGCTAATAATACAATAATAAATGAATCCAAATCCATTGTGATCCCGACCGCTTGGTTCTGGGAATTTGTCAAGTTAGGAGAAATGAGGTAGAAAACGGAAGGAAAAACGTAGTGTGTAAAAATTGCAAGGCAAACAGACGTTGATAAAAGATGTTGAAAAATTTTTAGAAGGCTCAGATTATAAAGCAGAAATCTGAATTGTGTTTCGAAACTATTTTACGATTTTGTGTAATTAGATGTCGCTATTGCGTCCGTATTGAAGCCATGTTATTGTTGCTTCTTAAAAGCAGAAAATATTGATTGTTCACGTTGAGAACCCTATGAATAGCTCTTTTGACGAGACCTATTAGGTCGAAATACGTATCAAGAGATACATAGGATTTGTTTGCGTGAAATCAAATATTTGCTGCCTTTTCTCATATTAAAAAGAATCCTTTCGAACTCTTGTTATACCGCAGAGTAATAAAAATATCATGGAGTGATAGAACTACAAATAAAGAAGTACTGGAGAAGGTTGTTAAAGAAACAGAAGTAATCACCATTATACAAACCAGAAAACTGAAATACCTAGGCCACGTAATGAGGGGACCAAAATATGAAATTTTTAGACTCATAATACAGGGAAAGATTCAAGGAAGATCTGTTGGCCAAAGGCAGAACTCATGGTTGAGGAATCTACGTGATTGGTCTCAAAGCAGATCGATTGGTTTGTTTAGAACAGCAAGTTCAAAAATACAAATAGCCAATATGATTGTCAACCTCCGTAGAGAGACGGCACTCTAAGAAGAAGATGCCCACGCTATCCACCGTTTTTTATTTCACACACCAAGATGGATTTCCCAAACAGCAGGTGTTTTTCCTGGCTGTTCCTTAACCTGCAGACTCAACTGTCTCTAACTGATCCATAATTTTTTTTGAGGATTTTTCTTTCCCCCCTTTTGAGGAAGAAACTCAGAACTTTCAACAATCGTATCGTAGAACATAAAAGAGCTTTCAATAATAGAAAACAGATTCTACGTACTAACATAGAACAATTTTATCACATAATGTAGCTACTATATTCTAAAACTCTTACATTAATTATCACAATATAGTCTATTGTATAACATATATTACCTTATTCATAGTTGCTAAAGCATATTGGCACGTGAGATATTCTGGATCTGACTCCGACAGTCTTTTTAAAATCGCATCTACTAGCAGAGGCCATCTGGTTATCCGTTGCATCGGTAGCATTAGAAATGAATATAATGACAAGAATTGGCAAGCGGGACTAGATTCCAGTTGATTTAAAAATTCTGCAAAGTCTGTTCTTTCCCTAAAAATTCATCATTTTATTAAATTTGTTAGATAAAGTATCGAATAAAATCCTGAATAAAATTACCGCAAGCGTTATAAGAATAAAACCTTACAAATTGAGTTTATATGTCAATATATGAAGGCTATAACCAAAAGAAAAGTCATTAAAAAGTTTAAAATAATATAATAAACATTATTGGTTCAAAAACTATCGGGCAACGATTTTAGGAGCTTAACTGGCGTTCAAAGATTTGCTAAAATAAATATATAAACACAACCAAACTTATGGAATCACCATGTATTTCAAACCAATATTTATTTATTTTTTAAACTTGTTCTTGTTGCGAAGAATAAAGGTTTTTATTGAAAATAAACAAAAACAATCAGATAATGCAGCCCGGTATGGTATAGTTTTTTTTTAGTTGTAAATATATATATATATTATATATATATATATATATATATTATATATATATTATATATATATATAACAGGCGAGTCTTCTACAGCTGGCGCCGCTTCTCGCATCCTAATTCCAGCGTTTTCTGTCGAAGCAATCTTCAGTTGTTAGATCTCTGGCGGTCATTGCATCGTCGACATCGTCTCTCCAGGATCGTTTTGGTCTACCTCGTTTTCTTCTAGTTGGCGGAGTCCATTCTTCTATTTTTTGGCCATCTATTTTCCGGTATTCTCTGAAGGTGTGTCCATACCAGTTAAGTCTTTTGGCTTCGATTGTGTCTATTATGTCTAGATCGATTTCCATTTCTCTCCGAATATCTTCATTTCTCACCCTATCAAGTCTAGTGAGCTGGCAACATCGTCTTCAGTAGTTCATTTCCATGGCCTTAATTGTTGATTTGTTTCTTTGGTTTATTTCCCAGAGTTCGGCGCCATACAGTCCAATACTTTCTATTATTGTTTTATAAATTCTTCTTTTATTTTCTTTTGTTATTTTTTTATTCCATAATAGTCCGTTTTGCTGTCTGGTGGCTGATCTTGCTTGGCCAATCCTGGAATGTATTTCTTCGGCTACTTCCTGCTTTTGATGTTATTTGGACTCCCAAGTACTTAAAATTGTCTGTTGGTTTTATAGTTCCCATTTCGATTTGTAGGCTTTCTGGTTTTTCTCCTACAACTACGTACTCAGTTTTTTGTATATTAATTGTGAGGCCCCATTTGGTGTACTCATCTTCCAGTTTTCTAAGCATGTAGTCTTATATCACTCTCGTCTTCAGCTAGAATGGCTTGGTCGTCAGCGAAATGTATCGTGTACAATCTATCATCTCCGATTGGGATGCCCATATTGCAGCACTTTCTTCTCCACAGTGGGAGTGCCTCATTTAGATATATTTTGAAGATGTGTAGGTGCTATGCAGCAGCCTTGCTTTAGGCCCTTACTAATAGGAATTTCTCTAGTTAATCTATTTCCAGTTTTAATGTTTGCCGTCATATTTTTGTAGAGCTGTTGTACTGCTTGTATATTTTTTGCTTATTCCTTGTTTTTCCATTGCTACCCCTAAGCACTAAAAGTGGTACACTATCGTATGCCTTTGTCAGATCTATAAAGGACTATATGATTTGAAAGGTTGTGGGCTAATCTTTTCTCGATAACTTGCTTTAGAGAGAATATACTGTCCATTGCAGGATCTGCCTGCACGAAAGCCATTCTGTTCTTCTACATCTGTCATCTCTTTTTCAATTTTATTTTTTATTATTTTTCCATGCAGTCGTGAGAGTGAATTTATGACACTTAGCCCCCTATAGTTTAAACAATTCTTTCTATCTCCTTTTTTGTATATGTTGTTAATATGTGCTTTTGTCCACTCCGATGGTAAGTCGTGTCCATTATAGAATAAGGTGAAGACATACGCCAGTAATTCCCGTATTACTGTGGGCTAGTTGTAAATTGAACGAAAATAAAGGGGAAATATTATTGGTTTTTGTGGAGCAAGGAATGTCTCAAAGCGACATAGCTGCAGTGATAAGCATACTACAGGTCGTTATGTTAAAAACCTATAATAGGTAATCAGGAGTTAGGAACGCTAAAGAAAAGACAAAGATAAAGTCACCAAAAAGTAAAAACGGCTTGCTACGATCGTTTTATTGTCCAAGTAGCTAGAAGGGGCCCAACACTTTCTCACCCGCAACTGCAAAAGCTGCTTTTGGAATGTACAGGGTTAACTGTTTCAGTTAAAATGATAAAAGGAAGACTTCGTACCCAAAGATTATACAGCAGTAGATAGTAATGTATTTCCGAGTTAACCAGGCAGCACAAGATTCATCGCCTAAATTGGTATCTTCAATACCAAAACTGGAACATTGGAAATTGTGTTATTTTCAAACGAAACCAGGATTTGTGAAAAATTATATATCCGATGAATTCGTGTACTTAGAGTATATATATATATATATATTATATATATATATATATATATATATATATATAGTCCCAAGATTCCTAAGAGGAACATAGGCCTTCCACAAAGTGTCTCCAGCGAACTCTATTTCTGGCTAGTGCTTTGATTTTCAAGCCAGGATTTTCCCATTTTTCTCCCTTCGTCCAGTACGATCCTTCTCCAAGTTCCCTTAGGTCTGCCTACTTTCCGTCGCCTTGGGGATTCCAATCCAGCGCTGTCCTGGCAATGTCATTTGGCGGTCTACGGAGTGTGTGGCCCAGCCATCTCCATTTTCTTCGCCTTATTTGCTTTATGACATTTTCTTGGTTGCTTTGGTTTCATAAATTTTCATTGGAGATTCGGTTAGGCCAGAATATACGAAGGATTTTTCGTAACGCTCTATTGATGAAAACTTGTAATTGGTGTACTATGGGTGCTGATATCTTCCACGTTTCGCAGCCATACAGTAATACAGCTTTTACATTTGTGTTGAAGATTTTTCATTTCGTTTTAGTTGGGGTAAATCCTGGATTTCCATATGTTGTTAAGCATGTTGTAGGCGTTGCGAGCCTCTATTTATTCTTTCATGTACATCATGCTCTGTACCCCCATTACAGTCAATTATGCTGCCTAGATATACAAATTCCGCTACTCTCTCAATTTTCTGGTCGTTGATCATAATAGGCTGTTGTTTCTGGTACCAAATCGCATTTCTTTGGTTTTGTTGGTGTTTATCGTGTACTTAGAGTGCAAGAATGATAAACCGGAATGAAAATAGCCAGATCTGTTCACAGACATAAAGAAGAAAGTGTTTTGTTTTGGGTAAGTAATAGGGTCAGTGAAAGAACTCCTTTAATTTCCATTCAACCATCTTTAATAGCTTGCAGGTATGTTAGTTTGGTTATAGAACCTGTAGTTAGACTCTGAAAAAATGTAGTGAAAAAAATTTAATTTTCAGGCATGATTATGCCCCTGCACATACCAACTACAGAATACAGACTTCCTTAAAGCAGAAGATATCACTATACTGTAGTGGCCTACTTGCTCACCCGATCTTAACTCTATAGAGTATTTGTGGAATATGCCTAAAAAAAGAATTAGACCTCGCCAGCTAGTATAAGCTGATCTTGAAAAAAGAAAACAGCCTACCACAATAAAATCTTGACAATTTGTTTAGGAGAATTCATACGCGAATTGAGAGCTTGCATAAGGCCTAGGGTTAGTTACACCGACTACTAAAAAACATAAATAAATAAATAAACAATTTAAACATGATTCCTTGTACAATGTGTATGATATTGACTATAAAATAAATAATTTCAATTTTATATTTAAAAATTTATCGCTCTCTTTAATTTTTATTTATTGGTGATAAAATTTCTTTAAAATAAATATTCTTTGACTTCGTAGGTTGGTTTTTTTTAAATTCGATTAAAATAATAAGAAATATCAGATGATTCCATATGTTTGGTTGTGTGTATATTGTTTACTTACTTTAATTTATTAAGAGTTTCACTAATTAGAATTTGATTTTCACAGTAAGGTATATATACATGGAAATTTTCTTCAGCATGCCTTTGTACAAGATCACAGAGTCCATCAAGTAGAACATTACTTTGCCAACATTTTTCAAAATCGTGAAGTATTTTTCTAGAGCAAGCTCTCACTGCAACAAGTCAAAATAAATAGTTAATTTTTAAGTAAATATATGTTTTATTAATGTAATAAACTAACTCTGGGACGGCCTAATCGAGCTAGAACGTGTATGTTCGAATCGGACAACCTCTTCAATATTTTGTTGTCTAAATAGCGAAACAGTTGATATTAATTAATAAGAATCACAGTGGAGTAAAGTTATTGTATTGTGTACTTGCCAGTAATATTTTCGGTGAGTAAAATGTAATTTTACTTGCATTTACTGGCATAAAAACATTCACAATATTTCATTAGTAAACGACTTTTTGCTTCTCTTATCAATAATTAGTACAGTACAATAAACATAAACCTATTATTAGAACAACTACCTGTCGAATAGGCATCCAGAATTACGATGAGTAATTACTGGTTGCTAAACGTAATATTCACCAATGGAAAACAAAACTAAATAGATTTCCAGGGTTGCTTTTGACTACGAGGTCACCCCAAATAATAATATGAGTTCACCGACTGAAAATAATCCCACAAAGTCAACATGTCGCTAGCAATCTACTTCATCAAACATCTCACAGCCTTCTATTTCTTACACAGCAGCAGTTAAATCAGCGCCGAAATGCTCCTTCCAAAAAAGGAGCAAGCTATAGTGAGCCATTCAGAAGCAGACTTAAAATTATATGACTACGCTAAATCCATAGGAGATATGGATAAGTTATTTCTATTTGTTTCTTTCACATCGAGGTTTAAGCAACATTATATAACCCCATAATGGATGCTAGGATCTACAAGGGGATCACTTGCTTTTAACATATTTAGCTCCCTAACATTATAGTGTATTTTTATGTATGAGAGAGTAATAAAACAATAAATTATGTATGCAAATCCCTAAACTGTTGATACGGGTGACTCAATGAAAAACAGATATTTGTCAACAAGTTTACAGAAGTATATAGGAAAACAATTTTAAATTGAGTATGACCACCAGGTATAAAGGTTGGAGCAGAATAGAATACAATACTTGTGAGGGTTACTTATCCCTAAATAAGGTTGCCAGTGTCGGAGTGATGGAGGTTAACAGGTACTAATGAATTTGCAAGAAATGTAAGATGTTTATTTTATTGGTTATATATAACCAATAAAAGTTTAATAAGTACCTACCTATTTGCAAAATAAAGTTTAATTCTTTAGATAAAATAAAACGTTTTATTTTATCTGAAATGAGTGCATTCCACGAAGTAAGGGTTTCAACAATCAAACATTTAATTCTTTAATTCCAGGAATCTACGACAGTAAATTGACTAGATAATTACCTTCTAAACTTATTCCACAGAAACTGTGATAGTGGGTTGTTCCATTTTGTAGGAAGGTCCAAGTGGCGTATTCAAATTCTTAACAGTTCACTAAAAGTAGGTACTTCAGTTGCAAGGTGCAGTTTATTGTGTATACTAGTGTTATGGAAATTTGGAAGTGCCGTGTAAACGCCGAAAAATTGGTCCTTTAACAGTTAATAAAAAACATTAATATTTAATTGTTTTAAATCATTTACAGACAAACGTTTATGTGAAAGTGTTGATGAGACCGTTGAGTTAGTTAGCAGTACACTTGGTGTTGGGAAATCTAATACGAGTTATTAAAGAAGAGAAATGTGGTAGTTTTCAAATGCCACGTAATGCTCCAGGGAAACCAAAATTTCAAATAGAATATCATTTTAAAGAAGGACTTCGACGGAAACTGCATGAATTCTTCTTTAGACAAGAATTTCCAACATTGGATAATGTTCTTGTCTCAGTTCGAGATGATAAGGATTACCCAGAAATGAGTCGAAGTACGTTATGGAAACTTTTAAAAGAAATAGGCTTCCGCTGGAAAAAGAATCCCAGAAAGTCTATTTTATTAGAAAGAAGCGATATTGTCATATGGAGAAGACATTTTTCTAAGAACCATAAAGGAAATGAGAAACCAAAAAAGAAAAATATTTTATCTTGATGAAACATGGATCAACGAGGGTCATACACCAAATAAATTTTGGCAGGATGAAACTGTTACAAGTCAAAGGCACGCTTTTGTAAATAACTTATCTACTGGTTTAAACCCACCATCAGGAAAGGGACGCAGGCTGATAATAGTACACATTGGCAGTTCAGACGGTTTTGTTGAAGGTGGTTTATTAACTTTTGAATCAACTCGTACCGGTGACTACCATGAAGACATGAACGCTGATGTCTTTCAAGAATGGTTCGAACAAATGATAGATCTTCTTCCTAAGAACTGTGTAATAGTAATGGATAATGCAAGTTATCACTCCAGACTTATAGAAGGACTGCCCACAACCAAGTGGTTAAAAAAAGACTTGCAGAATTGGCTGAGTTCAAAAAATATTACGTACCATCCCGGATCTATAAGAAAGGAACTTTATTCGTTGTGTGCCCTTCATAAAGAAAAATTTAAAAAATACGAAATTGATGAAATTGCCAAAAATCGTGGAATGACAGTACTTAGATCCCCACCATATCATTGTGAATTAAACCCGATTGAACTGGTATGGGCACAGATAAAGAGTGAAGTTTCAAGAAAAAATACCACTTTTAAAATTCATGATGTTAAACAGTTGTTTTTGGAGGCCGTAAATAATGTAAAACCTGAAAACTGGGAAAAGGCAGTAAATCACACTATTAAAGAAGAGGAAAAAATGTGGAAGCTGGACAATATTACTGATAAAATGATCGAGCCAGTTATTATAAATCTTGGTTCTGAAAGTTCATCTTCTGAATCTGATTTGGATTTGTAACAAGTAGCTGTAAGTTTTATATTAATATTTTTATTCATCTATTTAACATACCTTAGACGGTTTTAAAAAACTCTTTTTCTCTTTTGTAATTTTTAAAAATTAAAAAAAATGTGAATTTTTTAAAACCCTTTTTAATGTAGGCCAGTCAGTTCTAATATAGTGTGTGATAAAAAAGGTCACTTTTGTTTACATACACATAACACTTTATAACACTGAAATAATTCATTTACTTTTCACAATTATTCAAAGTAATTTTTCAATTAATCTTGAGCACGCCCATGGAGTGGTCGGAGGAGTACCAGTTAAAATTATGCTAATTACTCTCTCGTTCATAAAAATAAACTATAAAAAAAAACTAAATCTAAAAATACAATACTTTTCAGGATCTCGGAAATTTTTATACCAATGCCTCCAACATTTTGATAAAAAACTGTTAATTGGAAGGATTACTATTTTGTTTGTTATTTAACTTTACAAACTGTAAAACTTGTTCACAAACTGTAGAAACACCACTGCGGTATCTAATGCATAGATTTTTCATAGTCAACAGCTAGGTCCTTTTTAGCTGCCTTGTAAGCGTCTTGCTCTATCTTAGTTTGATCCTTAGAGATTCTATAAACACTATTTCAAAGTTAAATATAAAGTAATAATAAAGATAATTTCACCGTGTTAGTGTACACCTACATTGGAACCGTATTTCTCCCGATCCGATATCGGACGACGTCGCCCGACGTCGGATTGAAAACAAACTCAAGGTATTAAATCATAGTGCCTATACTGCTTCCATGACGAAGCAGTGTAGGCACTATGATTTAATACCTTGAGTTTGTTTTCAATCCGACGTCGGCCGACGTCGCCAGATATCGGATCGGAAGAAATACGGTTCAATGGTAGGTGTACATTTAGCATTACATTGAGCTTTGACTGGTCTAGCTTGATTGTAACTGGACAATTTGCCAACTCGGATAACATGTGACATGGTGGATTCCTCTGGTGTAAGCCAAGTAAAAGAAAGACCTTACACACCTGAGATTTGTCATAGCTAATGCAATAGGCTAATACATTAGAGTTATACTCAGGAATTTTATAAATCATAAGATTTTGAGCCCTATCTATACGATATAGTACTTCATAAAAAACTGAATTTGCTGTTCTCTATAAATTGCTATTTTCCATGACTGTAATCTTTTTTTTGAGACTGGTAATTTCATCTTCCAGCTTGGCAAATCTTCGCACAAACATGAGAATACTCTTATATGCATCACGACCAGAAGCACAAAAGTAGGTACATAAATAGACGTTTCTGCAAAATAATTGCCCGTATCTTGGATGTGGACCAGCAAAGTATTTTTCTGCAATGTGTATCGTTGATAAAACAATGTCGTGTGCTATTATTTGCTTTTCATCAGTAGCGAGATCTTGGGAACAAGCGTAGCAATTATTGGTCATTATAACCTCAAAATTTTATCTTAAAATGGGGAGCATCTCAAAATGGATCAACAGTGTTCACGTTCAAAAGATTTATTCCAGCTAAATAACACCATGAGAATGATCGCTTAGATGACGCTCAGAGCGTGGTAGGTTACACCAAATGGTGACCAACACACCCAGCTCATAACATCCCTCAACCACAGGGAGTTGAAGGTTACAATACATACAAACAGAATAATATAAAAATCACACAGTATTTCCTTACCTGATTTAATTTTTCCAAAAAGAACTTCGTACTCAATTTCATTTACAATATTCGAGTGCTTAAACTTCTTTTCGAAATGATCCGCTAATACATTGAGTGAATGTAAGTACGATGCTTCTGACGTAATGATTTCGAACTTAGCTTCTTGCAGCTTTTTCTGTTGGGAGCTTAGAGTACCTACAAATAATTTACAAATATTAAAATTACATAAAATATCCCTGTATATAAAACACATCTTAGAAGCACACAAATTAATTTGAGAATCACAAGAAATTTTGGATACCAATAATTTCTAAAGAAACAAAAATTCATCAATGTTTAAGATGTATATAAAAGTTTGCAGCTTTGCACTGTTCATTTCCTGAGCATTTAATTTCATTTTATTCTCAGCACTCTCCATATTTTAAATTTTTCTATAATATGGTGGAAGATTCGTCGTTTAATAGCTGCCTGAAGAACGAAGACTTTACTATTCACTTACTTGATTAGCGCGAAGCGATACATAAGATCATGGTTTTAAATATGGGTATTGAAATCTTTCAAGGTGAAACAAATGGGTAATATTCACATTTAAAAATTTAGGTGTAGAATAGTAAGTAGGATACTGACTTACAATCAGGCTTCGGCAGTTAACTGAACACTTACTTAAAACTGTCGACTTCACTACTTCAGGAATTTCACACCAAAGACTTTTCGTAAAAGTTATTGTCCGATTTTGTGGATCGACTAAATCCTCTGACGAGTCGTTTATAGTTGAAGACGAAATGTAGTTTTCGTTCATTTGTTCCATGTCTTCGTAAATGTCAGACTCACAATCGGAAGGCAGGTCATCATTAACAGACTGAAATATAAAGTAAAGATAAAATTAATTATGAGTAAAGCAAAGGGCATTATATACTAAAAAAAGAGTACCTATTGACCCTCACATTCAATAGTATTGTTTACTACTAGAAGAACCTATATACTAAGTTTTAAAACTCGTATTTTTCTTTTAATTAACGACAAAGTTATTATAAAATCAAAATAGGAAAAAGACCTAGTACTCCAAATTCAATTGAGTTCTACATTACAGAAATTTTAGTATTCGTACCTGCCCGAGAGTATAGGTGTGGCTCTTTAGTACTCCGCGCAGGATAGACAAAGTCTTAGAAGAAGAAGACTTCGAAATTAGTCAATTTTCTCAGTTTAGAAATAAAGATAAAAAGAATACGAGCAGAAAGGCGACCCTAATCGTGCACCTATCTGTCCCAAAGACGTGTTTCAATGACATCAATCAAGGTCCCACAGGTGAACCTAAGGTAGCTTCAGCAGAACTGACTATTACTCTGAAAAGATTCGATGTCGCCTTGATACAAGAATGATGTACAAGAACATTGATAAACCAGGTTCAAATAAAAGGTGTATCGTTGCGCGATTTCGATCAAAAGTATGCAACTTTCATTACATTATCAACCAATTTTATTATATCAAATTTGAGATTTCCCATTAAAAGATATATACGGGGGTGAGTCATGAGGAACTTTACATACTTCTACCATATGTAGAGTCCCTCAGGGAGCATATCATGTGGCCACTAAAAAATGTCAACTCCTCTTCTTTATTAATTAACAGGGTGATTTGTGTAATTGACCATTTATTTCATTTTACTGTAGTGTTTATACGGCTCATTTGATTTTCTTAATTTTTGCATGATACAGTACACTACTATCAAGCATTCGACTGGTATTAGCTAAACTAAAAAATTCCAGGACTGGCTTTGGAAAAATTAATTTAGGGATTCGTATTAAATATTACACCCTGTATATATATTTTTTTTAAATGCAATAAGTGATTTTCAAACTACATAAATAGCCAATGAAAACGACATATGCGACAATGTTGTCGCACTTTTATTAAATTTTTAGTGAACGATCAAATCTTACCAAAAATAGAACAACCATAATGAAGTATCAAATTATAAGGTATTAATTTAAACAAATGTTATAAATTTCAAACATTTTAATTAAAATAAGTTCCTACAACATAATCTAATACGTAGAAAATTAACATCTTTACTGTCACTTTGTATTATCTCTACGATAGAATCAATTGTTTTTCAATTTTAAATTTTTACTCATAGATCGTATTGGGGCATTATTTTCGATAAATAATAAATTAAATTGATTAAAAAGTCAAACCTCTTGTATGTGTTAGTTTTTGTTGATTGTAAATGATTAAAATTTTATGTCAAATAATAATACATTGCATCAACTGTACTAAATAAAAATAAATCTAAAAAGTTTAAAATGAAGGTTGGCGTTGACCGTTTGACGTTTCTTGATATTTTATACCCATTGTCATTATTGTCATTATCAATTGTTATTTATGTGTACAAGAATACATATTTCTTCTGTCATATCTACGTTAAGTACATTGTGTTAGTTTTGGTAGAGCTTTTGTTACTTTCGTTCAAAATGCCACATCAGTTTTCGACCACAGAATATGCAGACATAATATTTGTTTATGGATTCTGTAATGGGAATGGTAGGGCTGCTAGTAGAGAATATCGCAGGAGATTTCCTAATCGTCGAACTCCCAGTCATCCAACATTTGGGTCAGTTTTTAATTATTTGCGAGAAAATGGCACTTTTCCTAGTGGAACAACAGAGCGACATGTAGATGAAGCGCAGGAAGATGACATTATGGACGCCGTTACTATGAACCCTACAATAAGCACTAGACAAGTAAGTCGAGAACTCAATGTTACTCAATCAAAAGTAAGTAGAGTCTTACAAAAAAATAATCTATACCCATATCACATTCAAATGGTTCAGCGACTACATGCTGGAGATGAGATCGATAGGTTGGAATTTTGTAGATGGATTAACAATAATCGACCAACGCTATACAGGACACTATTTACAGATGAAGCCCAATTTACCAGAGACGGATAAATAATTCACGAAATTCACATGTGTGGGCAGAAGAAAATCCCCATGCTATTCGAGAACGTCGTTCTCAGTTAAGGTTTTCGGTTAACGTGTGGATTGGTGTCATAAATAACCAATTAGTAGGTCCTCACTTTTTTGATGGTCCTTTAACAGGGCAGGTCTATTTGAACTTTCTACAAAATATTTTGCCGAATTTGCTTGCCAACGCGAACGTTGCTATCCGAGGGATGTATTTTCAGCATGATGGGGCACCCCCACACTTTTTACTGGCAGTGAGACAACATCTCAATAATGTTTATGGCAACAGGTGGATAGGACGTGCAGGTCCTATTTCGTGGCCTTCAAGATCCCCTGATTTCAATCCCGTTGATTACCATATTTGGGGACGATTGAAGCAACTAGTTTACGCAGTGAATATTAATAACCGACAACAATTAATTGATAGAATTATACATTGTTGTAATACTATTAGAAACGATCCCCAGAGTATCCGTAATTCAATACGTCAATTAACAATTCGGCAACAAAAATGTGTACAGGCTGCAGGGTTCCATTTCGAAAATCTATTTTGAATTATTTTTATTTTGTTACCATTATTGTATCTTTTCCAGTTCTAATTTATGGGTTTATCATAACTATGTACATATTTTTAGTTTTTTTTTTAATTGTTCTTCGTTATTGTTAGTAGTTACTGTTTTTTGTTGTGCAGTGACTCAGTTTATCATTTCAATTAAAATGTTTGAAATTTATAACATTTGTTTAAATTAATTACCTTATAATTTGATACTTCATTATGGTTGTTCTATTTTTGGTAAGATTTGATCGTTCACTAAAAATTTAATAAAAGTGCGACAACATTGTCGCATATGTCGTTTTCATTGGCTATTTATGTAGTTTGAAAATCACTTATTGCATTTAAAAATATATATATACAGGGTGTAATATTTAATACGAATCCCTAAATTAATTTTTCCAAAGCCAGTCCTGGAATTTTTTAGTTTAGCTAATACCAGTCGAATGCTTGATAGTAGTGTACTGTATCATGCAAAAAATTAAAAAATCAAATGAGCCGTATAAACACTACAGTAAAATGAAATAAATGGTCAATTACACAAATCACCCTGTTAATTAATAAAGAAGAGGAGTTGACATTTTTTAGTGGCCACATGATATGCTCCCTGAGGGACTCTACATATGGTAGAAGTATGTAAAGTTTCTCCATGACTCACCTGTGTATATATATATATATATATATATATATATATATATATATATATATATATTATATATATAATATATATATATATATATATATTATTATATATAAAATTTAATGAGAAACGTCAGTTAAAGGTATTGTCATTTCATTGACAAAATCCGTAAAATACAATAATGAATAATATACTAAAGTATGCAAGACTTTTTGGGTCAACATATATCTGCGAACAAGCTTTTTCAATTATGAACATTGCCAAATTGAAACAGATTGCTTGAACAATGAAAATGTGAAACCCATTTTATACTTAACGAAAAAACAGACTTTCATAAGGTTTAAATACTCCGTTAAAACATTTTTAGTGTTGTTTTATATTGTTTACGCACAGTTATTAAATCATTCTACAAATATTCTATACGGTTTACCCAAAGAAAAATTCATAAGAACTATGTATAATGTATTTTACGAATCTAAGTGCATTTACTATTTTTGTTGGGAATAAGCCACAATTTAAGTTTAAAATAAGTTTATTTAAATAAAATAAGCTTCAATTTTAGTATTTATATAATTTATTTATCAAAATGAGCTTAAACTTAAACAAAATTATATACATATGAATAAAAGTCTCATTTAAAATTATCTGTCACAGCGGCGCTGTAACGTCACTATTACGTCATCTGTTATGACTATGGTCTGTTTTTTAACCAGGAGGAGTAATTCAAATTTTCCGCGCCGTAATTCTTGTTTGTAATTGATCCAACCGCAGGCAAGTTTACTCCACTAAATTATGACATATTGACACTAATGACATTGTGAAATTTTAAAATTCAAAATTTATATCGACGATTTTTTGTATTTTCTGCGTTATTCCTTACATTCATAGATTTTTCGTTTGCATTTATATAAAGAACATTTCTTTTCAGAACTATTTAGTATTATTAAGATACCAATATGGATTTAATGCCAAGTACTAGTGGTAATTATTCTTCTACCACCTTAAAAACGCCGGAGTAGATTTGGGTCATTTATCAACAAATAAGAAACAATGTTTTATAAACATGTATAAAAAAATGAAAATTGATAATTCTGGATTAAAATAACAGCCACGATAGCAAAAGTAAAACAGGCAGCAGGTTAGTTTTGCAGAAGAGTTATTATTAAAATCAAAACTTACAAAGTAATGTGCTAATTTTAGGTGTTGCGAATTTTATTCAACTATTAACCAAACAATTAAAGAATATATATGCAGACTGGTGATATGCGAATATTTAATAGTTAAGTAATATTGTGTTTTAGTTTGATTGCATTGATGCAGTTGTTTTGTTCATCTGGTTGTAGATAATCACAAGAAAACTGCACAATTATGCTTGAATGTAACAAAATTTGTTTAATTTACTGTTTGTATTTTGAGAACGATTTCCGAATTGGAAATTGAAACGTCAATAAACGTATTTTTATCTTTAATTGTGGCTATTCCCAGTTATAATAATAAATAATAGATTGAATTTGTTAATTTTAGTCAATTTTATTTATTGATAACAAATGTTACAAACTCAAGAATCCAGCATTAACAAAATTGTAAGTACACACTTATTTATACAAAGTATCTTTTTGCATTATAGTGCTTCAAATACTAAGAAAACCTAAAGATATTAATACATAAGTTAAACAAATCTATCTAATGAGGTAACTGATTACCAAAATACCACACCTATATTTGAACCATAATTTATTCTGTGATGGAAATATGAAAAAGTGAATTTTAAAGCAGTGAACAGGAAGGAGTATGTAAAAAAAATTGCCTGAAGCAATTCAGGAGATTGGATTATTTAGCTTAAAAATAATGATCAAAGTCAAAGTTAACTCTTCTGGTAAGAAAAAGACCTATATTCAAGAAATTAATCACATCAAAATAAAAATATGGTCTACGCAGTTTGACAGAACAGTATTTCAGCAATCTTTGAACTGTCTCTAGCTTTTTGATACATGCATTTGCATAGCTTTGTTGCATACTTATTAGATCTATTTGCAAATTAAAAGACAAATTTATGTAAAAACCAAACTTAGATGAATGTGAAAAATGTGAAAAACGTCCTTTTTTTATTGTAATATCTATTGGAAGTGAATTAAAAAAAATTATAATTCAAACATAAATTAACAAAGTTAGGTTAGAATTGACGTGGAAGTTGTCCGATATTGATTACTCGATTACCGCAAGGCCGAGATAATCAACAAAAAGAAGATGTATTTGGTGACTTTTCTAGTAACTTTCTTGGGTGTGAATCTGTCTTTTTGGTTTACTCCTCCTGGTTCACGGTTCCTAGACTTACTACGGTTGCCTCTTCCGATTGGGGTGGGGATGCATGAGTTACGTCACAGGAGTACACAAGAATACAAAACCCATTTATTTGCGATTGAAACTGAATGTAGAGGGCAGGTCGATATCAGTGTAATGGCCGATATAAATGGTATAAACAAAAACAAACATAACATTCGAATATTTACCATTGCTTTTCCATGTTTAGTTTGTTTAAGACGAGTTATTTGTATCATTTAATAATGGAAATTAACCTTAATGATATCTTTGAGTATTGTGGTGAAGCAAAGAGTCCATTGGTTGAAGGGGAAGCAGTTTTTAAGTGATGAATTCCTAAATTTTAACTTTAATGTTTCGAACTGGCTTGTGTATTGATGACGATGAATCCTATTTTGTGTATACCTGGGAACCCAGAATATAATATTCTGTGTAATGTTTGCCTTAACGTATATATGCATTATTATACCTTATGTTTTTAATATGTTAATTTTTATTTTATACTATTTTTTGACATATGTAAGTACTTTATTGTATATTAACATAAATAAATAACTTTAACTTGGCTTTATTGTAAAATAGTTCATTTGATTACATGAAATATGAAATCAACCTACTTTATTTATAAAACATTTTTGTTTTGATACATCCATCCAATCACAGGCTGAATGTTAAGATTCAAATTACGTCACGGGAGTACAATCCGGCTAAACGTTCATTGTTAGGCGGAAGAGGCAACCGTAGTAAGTCTAGGAACCGTGCTCCTGGGTAAAAAACAGAGTATAGTTGAGAAGCCTGCGTCTGTTTATTCTAACCGTGCAAAAGGTACGAGGGGTTACAGACTTTTGACTAGCACTGTATAACCCGATAAATAAACGTTAACAGTTTGCTTTAAAAGTTTAAACTAAAGAAACCTTTGCTATTTGAATAAAAGCTAGAAACTTGCAAAACATTTTTAGAACAATAAGTCGTAAACAAAAGTATGGAAGTTCTGGACTGATTAAAAAAATTAAATCCTTCAAAGAGTTATTTGCCATAACTAGATAATCCGATAATCTTATTGTTTTTAATTACATTGCATGCGCTGAAATTATTCCTTTATTTCGACAACAAAGAAACTTCCGTTTATGGCTAGTACCTAGAACGTAATTAACTTTATTACTTACGTCAAATACAGCAGCGTCATAAAACTGATAGAGTGGTTCATCCTCGAAGAACGTTGTGTCATGAGTGGCGTATGTTACGGAAGAATCATCCTTCTTGGAATCACCACTGCTGTAACTATACATGCTCTGATTATTGTAGTTACTTTCTGTTTCGAAGTTATTATTAACATTGTTATGTATACTGTTCGTCTCACTGTTGTTTTTGTTCAGTTTAAAATTCAGTTCTTCTATAACGCTGTAACAAAACAAAAAAGAAACAATTAAAACCTTCTCATTTAAAAAATTATGCAAATAATTTTGTGTTTTTATTTATAATATCACATCTATTAGAAACATCGTGTACACTCGAAAACATTGTGTAATTGTGTAAACTTTTACTTTAATGCAGAAATGTATGATAGTAGTTTTTATAACAGAAGATTACAACTGTGTTTATATAGGACTCTTCCTAACAGAACCTCCGTTTTGGGCAAATATTTATAAAAATATTATGACCAGCCAACCCGACAACATTCGACGACAGTAAAATGGTGGATGCAGTGCAAATTAGCAAGTTAAATTTGAAACAATAAGATGGTGAATTAATTACTATTAAACTGGGAATAAGCCACAATTAAAGATAAAAATACGTTTATTGACGTTTCAATTTCCACTTCGGAAATCGTTCTCAAAATACAAACAGTAAATTAAACAAATTTTGTTTTTTGTTACATAGTGAAAAATTCTTCTAATAATTTAATTTTATCTGACTCATTTATATTGACAATTCAGACATACATTATGCATTTTAAAGTAGACGACTTTAAAATGATATTGCCAATATTGTTGAGTTGCGCTCCTGGGACGACTTTACTTATAAGATAGTTCATTCGATTACATGAAATCAACTTTAACTTGAGAATATCCGTCAGAAAAAATCATAGCATGTAATTCGTCTTTAAAAAGACAAACACATGACATGATGACAGTAAAAATTCTCCTGTTAGTGATTCCATAGTAAATTATGAGGGAAAAACCAGGAAAAAAACCTCATAATACTATCCCGACATTGTAAGTATTTGTTCGTGAATTTAGTTTACCTTCAACAAACATCAAAATTCTGATTTTTATATATTACGTTATTTAAAAAACATAAAGATGTATCCTCTATATGTTACTGACTTACTAAGACTGGTATTTTCTTATTAATAACTTCCTCTTTCAATATTGGTAACCAGATCCTACTACATTCTGCCGAGTGAATTTGCGACACAATTGGCCTCATTTAGCATAATTAGAGCCGCTTCTTTGATTTTTCTTTTTTTACCATCCGTTTCTTTTAGGACTGTATTTGAATTATTCCATTGAACCCTATGTTCATTATCCCATGCGTGTTTACATATTTGAGATCTATCAAATTCTCTATTTTTAATATAAGATTGATGTTCACTTATTCTAACATTTAATGGCCTTGATGATTCACCTAAATAAAACTGATCGCATTCACAAGGTATTTTATAAATGCAATTCTTTGTCCTTTCTTGTTCATTGTTAGGTTTGGTTTTGGACAAAATAGATCTCAACGTGTTTGTTGTTTTGAATGTTGTATGAAATGTTGAATTTATTTCCTATCCTTTTAAGTTTTTCTGATAATCCTTTTATGTACGGTATTGTTATTTTCCTCATATTATTCCTTGTGTATGCTGTAGGATCTCGTTCTAAGTTGTTCTGTTCTATTCGATCGATTGTTGAAAATTCCTTATTTATAAACGATAAAGGATAATCATTTTTTAATAAAACAGATGTTAACAAATGTTTCTCCTCCAAGAACGAATTTTCGTTAGAACAAGTAATTTTGGCTCTATCGTATAAGGATTTAATTATTCCCTTTTTTACATTAATATTGTGATTTGATTTGAAATTTAAATATCTATTGGTGTGTGTTGGTTTTCTATACACCTGAGTCTCATATCCAGTATCGTTCTTAGAGATTAAAACATCCAGGAAAGGTAGCGTGTTATTATATTCCTTTTCCATGGTAAATGTTATTGTCTCTTCTTTATCGTTTATATCATTTAGGAATGTGTCCAACAACTCTGATCTATGAGGCCATATTGAGAATACATCATCTACATACCTCCACCATACTGTGGGTTTGAAAATTTTGTTTAGAAATGATATTTGTTTCAAAATCTTCCATAAATATATCGGCTAAGAATGGAGATAAACTAGAGCCCATTGCTAGACCAAAATTTTGTTTATAGAATTCATTATTTAGTTGAAAATATGTATTATCAGTACATAATGTTAATAACTCCATTATAGCCGATATGTTTAGTCTTGTTCTAGTTGCCAATGAATCATCACTCTCTAATTTTGTCTTGACTATACTTAAAGTCTTATTTAATGGCACATTCGTAAATAAACTATTTATGTCAAAACTTACCAAAGTATTATTTGAATTAAATTCAATATTTGATAATTTATTTAAAAAATGTTGTGTATTTTTTATGAATGTGTCATTTTTATTTGTAAAGGTTTTAAAATATTTAATAAAAATTTTGATAGTTCACTACAAGGAGAATTCATGGTACTACAAATGGGTCTAAGTGGTATATTCGTTTTATGAATTTTCGGTACTCCATAAAAATGAGGAGCTTACTGTAATGAGGTGTAATTAATCCTCTCTGATAACTTGTTAAAACATCTTTAAACTTGAATAAAGTTCTATATATTTTATTTTCCAAAGGCTTTGTTGGATCTTTTGTTAATTTTGTATAAGGTCCGTTTATTAATAGATCTTTAATTTTATTTTCGTATTGAATTTTATCCATTATTACAGTTGCATTCCCCTTGTCTGCTGTAGGATGATTATGGAGTCGTCATTTTTTAAAGTTCTTATAGTCAATAAACGTATTTTTATCTTTAATTGTGGCTTATTCCCAGTTATAAATAGTAATTAATATGGTTTAGTTTGTTAATTGCTGTTGCCTGTAGCACTTTTGGTACCCAAGGTGCGGCCAACTGTTCGTCGACACTGCCTATAGGTAATATATGCTCTTTTAGCTCTACCTTTTAAGTGTGAGTTCCATGTTAACTTCCTTTCAAGGGTAATACCAAGGTATTCACCTCGTCAGTAAAATTTAGACTGTAGATTTAGAACCTTGAGGGTACTAAGCGCGTGATTCTTGTTTTCCTGGTAAAGAGGACCATCTATGTCTTCTTAGGATTTATAGATAGTGGGTATTCCTTGCACCATGTTTCTATTAGTCAGAGAGCAACTTGTTATCTGTCACATAGTGTGTTATCAAACTTACCGCTTTGCAGGACAGCAATATCGTTTGCATAGGCTACTGTGTAGAACCCGTTGCTGATCAGTTGGTTAACCAGGGTATCTAGAACTATGTTCCAGAGGAGTGGTGATAGCACCCCTCCCTGTGGACACACACACGTAACCATGCCTCTAACTGAAACGTCTTCCAAATTTATGCTTATTGCTCTGTTAGAGAGTATACTGAATATTCATTCGCTTACGGCCAGGGGAACATTCCTGACGTTAAGCTGTTGGGTGATGATTGGTAATGTGGTTTTATCAAACGCTTTCTCAATGTCTATGAATATACCTAGGGTGGATTCTTTATTGTCCAGCGATCTTTCAATTTTTCCCATTGTATTAGTTCCTGGAGTTGAAGCCTTTTATTTTGTCACTTATATATACTTCCTTTTACTTGTATTAACCTGTAGTCCCATTCTTTTTGTTGCTACTTCGAATGCCATGAATGATTAGAACAGGTCTGTCTTTTTTAGTGCAATTACTTCATTTTGCACTCTAACCTTACAATTGACTGTTGAGTGGATTTATTTCACTAATTTTACTAAGTGTACTAGGTTACTGAATTCTACCATAGCTTTGTACAGTGAATTTCTCTCTACACTATCATAGGCAGATCTAAAATCTACATACATATGGTGAGTATTAATTCCATACTCATGATTTTTTCCAAAGCTTGTTTAAACAAGAATATTTGATAATTCATTAACTTTTCTTTGCGAATCCTATTGTTAAATTATGTTGATGTAATATACCATGGAACATTTACTATAGATCTTAACACTTTATTCTGGAAGCATTATAGGATTGCAAGATTAGAATTGCTAGAGGTGCCCCATAGCTGAATATTATAAGTTCATATGGGTTTGAGGATCGCCTTGTATATAAGCAGTTTGTTATCCAATGCTAATTTAGAGCTTTGACCAATCAACCAATACGCATGTCTAAATTTAATGCCTAGTTGTTTTCTTTTGATAAAAATGTTCTTCTGACAGGTTAGACGTTTGCAAGATGGATACCGAAGTATTTTGTGACGGTTGCCTTACTTAATAGCTTGCCATTAAATGTGACCGGGGCATTCACCTCGTTTACATGTGCTGACTTGGTCTCATTTACTCTAATTCGACATTTTTTAGCCAAGTTTCAATTTTATTTAGGTTTTCTTGTAAATTTCCTGACGCTTTTGTAGGATTAGAGTCTATGGCCAGTATTGCGGTGTCGTCTGCAAAAGTAGCAACTTCTGTGTTGCTGCTGGATAGGAGATCTGAAATACAATAGATCCTAGTACGCTTCCTTGTGGAACACCTGTTTTGACAGAGTGGATCTAAGTGTACTCATCGTGCTGCTTTAACAGGAAGTATCAATCTGATAGATACGATTTTGGGAGTGAAAAGAAAGGATATAAGAATTGTTTCTGTATCTTATAAAGTGGGCATTCATGCCAAACCTTATCGAAGGCTTGACTACCGTCTTGGAAGACTGCTGAGAGGTAGGATTTACTCTCCAGCGCGTAGGAGACTTTTTTACTATTCTGGCACCTGCTCGATTATCCCATGCTTTAGCCTAAAGGCGAATTGATGGTCTGAAATAAGTTTAGTTTCTTTTAAGATTAAAATCAATCTTATCAATAGAAGCTTTTCGAATACCTTTGATAGACTTGGCAGCAAACTTATAGGTCTATAGTATTTTAGGTCCTCTGATTTTTTTTTCAGGTTTTGGTGTCAGGATAATCTGTGAAATTTTTTATTGACTCCAAAAGTAGGGCAAAAAAAGGAAAAAAAGTGAAGTTGACCTAATAGATGTGGTATTACTGTAGTTAATTCATTTAACCAATTGTTGATTTTCCTAAACCGTCGTAGAAATTCTGGTATTTTGCATATTTATTATTTTTGTCAATATTTTATTTTAAATATTCCTATAAGCTTAACAAATAATTATGAATATAGCATTCCCGTTACTTTTTTTAATAAAATTAGAAACAATAAAAAAATAAAATAATTATTTAATGCATTTCTACTAACCTGGAGAATACTCTGCCCTTTGGAGATTCTTTCTCAGTACTTAACTTTAACGATTTTGGTCGCGGACTCGGTTGCCGCTATCTCCTTCAACTTCTTTGGTTGGCGGTGGCAGTGTTCTTGAAGAATATAGTCCCACATGACTATACCATGACTTGTTTTCATCGGCTTTTAATTCAGTTTTAGGTATTACCGAGGCTCTAATCGCTTTTTTGCTTTCTTGTTCTTTCAACAATTTTTCGAGGACTAAAATGAAATTAAAAGTTTAAATTTTCTAATGTATTACAAATTAAATTACCATATAAAACGTGTTCGTTATTTCTAATTCTACATTACACTCAATAAATTTAATTTATACCTTAACTGTTTTCTCCTAAACAATAACAGTAATTTTTAAAGTAGTTTTGTTTACAGTGGTTTAGATTTTGTTTAAAGCGGGCGGTATTTTCGTTATGACCATGCTCTACCCGACAATCTAAAGCCTACTGTCAGAAATGTTCGCACCAACTCCCCGCAATCTATAAATGACCCTTCCTCTATTCCCAGCACCAGTAACGCATTGATTAGTGATCAGCTCCAACTAGGATCCAACTTGTAAATACAATACATTTTGGAGACGCTATTCCGGTATTCCCGTTCTCCTCTGCCAATTCTCCTGGGCCAAGGTATGCTTCTCCTCCAAACCTCTCGATTCCATCGCTCTTCTAATTCCTTCATTCCATGAGCGTCGAAGTCTACCTCTTTTTCTTCTTCCAGGGGCTTCCAACTTGGGAAACAAGTTTTTGGAGCCAACGTTCGTAAGGCATTCTCAATAGGTATCCAAACCATTTTAAATCCCTTCTTTCGTTTCTGTCAATGATCGTTTCTATAGCATTCATGTTATTTCTTATAGATTTGTTGGTTTTTCTTTCCAGCCTTGATGTTCTAGCACTTCTTCCCAAATAATCCATTTTAACTGCCAATAATCTTCTCTTCAGGTTTGCATTAATTGTCCATACTTCCAGTTTTCCACTTGTTTGATTTCCACGTCCTCGTCCATCAACAGTTCAAACCTTGCATCGAAATTGATAACTAAATATTTTGTTTTCTTCATGCTGACTTGTAACCCCTATTTTACATATTCTCTGTATGGACGCTTTATCATAAAGTCTAGATCATAAGAATCTTGAGATAGGACAACTTGGTCATCTGCAAAGTTTGGGGAGAACAGTATGTCATTTCCTATGGGGAGTCCCATTCCCTGGCAGTAGTTTTTCCAATTTTAGAGGGCTGCCTCAATATATAAATTAAATAGTAAGGGTGACGTACTGCATCCTTGATTTAGTCCTTAAGTAATTACTTTTATTGGCTCTGATAGTCTATTTCCCATTTTTAAGAAGGTAGTGTTATCCCTGTATACTTCTGTGATTATTCCTAAAAGGTATGAACTAATGCCGAGATGTTGTAAAGCTTGCCACAATTTAAGTCTTGGAACTGTATCAAAGGCCTTTTCTAGGTCGATAAAGGCTAGATGTACTTTGGTACCAACCGCTGTTCTTTTTTTTATTAATTGTTGAAGTATAAATAAGTTATCAGTACAAGTTATCAACCAGGCGTAAATCCACTTTGGTTTTCGCTAAGTAGATATCCTCCATCATCTCGTATTTTTCTTATTGATATTTCTTTTTGATTTAACATGTTGTCTATTTTTCTATTGTTTAATTATTCTCATTATCAAAAGTGTAAATTTAGTATAAATTGAAATAGCACAAATACAATGTCAATTTTTATTTTTGTATTTAAGCAAAGGCAACAATCCTTTTTGTTCGTCGTTTATTTTATAGTGTATTTTTTCTACTCGAAGGTATACCTAAGTAAATCCATATCGAACAAAAGAATATGACATCCAAAACTCTATAGAAAGCTTTCAAATTTTTGATACGATTATTGAATAGCAATGGGATGACGACATAAAATGTAATCCAATAATCTATGATGTAATACCGTATACAAAAATCGGGGGAAGCTTTTATTAAATCTGACTCTCCCTTTCTCTCTGCAAATCCTTTGTTAGGATATTTGGGTCTAGTCCTTTACCTTGTAAAATTAAATATTACAAACTTAGTATCAAGTTAACTATGAAATTTTGCGAAGATGATTTTATAGCTAAAAAGGATAATTGAATTTGAAAAAAGTTAGTGGACACAAACAACAAGATACGGTGATAGTACGAAATATACACGTGGTAATGTCAATATATAATTACTATTTTAATGAGAATACGCCACAATTGAAGATTAAAATAAGTTTATTGACGTTTCAATCTCCACTTTCGGAAATCGTTCTCAAAATACAAACAAATAAATTAAACAAGTTTGTATGAAAAATTTCCAACACACTTTTTTTGAAAACCTGACGAGCTGGAAATAAACTAAGTACAGATTCGTGATCAGCAGATCCCATTTCCCATAAGACATCAATTAAATTTAAAACACTTTTTCATGAAAAAAAATGTAGGCCTGTGAATTAAACATTTCTCGAACTTAATTAGAAAGATAACAAGCCGATTCAACAAGTTTCGTTAAACTATGGTATACAGCCAACCACTGGGATTTTTCCTATTATTTTTTAAAATAAGAGAGGATCTGAATTATGTGAGTACTGAATACTTACCATTATTTTTAGGTGGCACCGGTGGAGGTGGCATTCTCGGCCTTACCATTTTAGACCTATTTGGTTTAGTAGGTGTCTGTAAAGGCGATTCGTTCTTTATCACCTTTTCCTCCTTTTTCTCATTCTCGTTGGAAATATTGCTGGGGTCGTTCAAATAGAAAATGCTTTGTCTTTGGTTCTGAGTATTATTTTGATTTTCGAAATAATTCGATAGATTAGATACAGATACAGCTGTAAGGGAAACACTTCGTCGTATCCTAGACAAAAAACTATCTGGTTTTGTGTTATCTGTTTTTTCGGATTTGGTGCTTTCATCCTTGGAAACTTTCTTAATGGCTCATTGTCATTTATTATGGGAGATGGTATATCTTCATCTTCTAAAATAAGTAAAAATGTTTTTATTTTACTAGAAATATGAAGTAAGAAATAATGTAAAAAAAATATGAATACATAGCTATCCCCCTATCCTCCACGGAATTGCTAAATAAAAGCCCAACAATTCTAAAAAGAATTTCCACTAAATGTGAATTTTTCTACATTTGAGGCAATGATTTGAAACAAGAATATCCCAAAATTTATGCAAATTTTTTAATGTCCAAAGAGAGAAAAGCATGTGACCAGTAATCACAATAAAAGTATAAAATATGATCCGAACCCTAACCATTTGAGTGAAGAAATAAGATAACAAAAGCAGTAACAAGGCGTTTACTAATAGATTTATCTTCGTTATCCACTAACAAAACTATCCACTAAAAATAATGAACTTACTTTTATCTATGTCTATATCTGTTTGATAAATCTTCCTCGAAAACCTTCGTAGTGACTTGGTGATGTCCCTCGAGAAATTTTTTTTAAATTTGCTAATATTTTTTGTGAATTTGTCAAATCCATTGGACTCGGTATTTCTAGGTTCTGGTGGAAGGGAATGTTTGTAACATCGTGTCGTAATTCTACCTGCTGAAACTAAATTGTAAACTATGTAAAACCCTGAAGTTATGAAAATAAATAATATATACTTTGACAAACTTATGGTTCATAATAATTTCTTGCGTAATATATTTTGCTTTTGAATGTTCATGTCTCTGTTGACGTAAATGATTTTGATATTTCAGTCAGAACCACTAAATCAATGTACCGAACATAGATGGCGTAAGTAAATTACATACTATACTATGCAGCTCATGCTGGAGCATATTAAAAGCATAGGCTTTTAGGGAGACAGTATAGGGAGAATCAAAAACTCTTCTATGACGCATTAAAACAGCTCAGACAAAAGAAAGAACACATGATGCGGAATATAAAAGACAAGAATGAAAAGGTAATAACAGAAGAAAACCAAATAATGGAAAGATGGAGAGAACATTTTAAACAGCTAACTCATACAGAAGTTAGAAAGAAAGAAGTCACTCAAGAAGAAAGTTAGCTTGGCAGCATTCGGTAAACTGAACTATATACTCAGAAATCAACAAATTCAATTACATCTTAGATCTAAAGTTTTTGATGCATGCATTATTCCAATATTAACTTATGCGGCACAAACATGGACAATCACAAAAAAGAATATGAATATACTTAGAGTCACTCAACACGCGATGGAAAGAGCAATGCTAGGTATATCACTTAAGGACAAGAAATCAAACACATGGATAAGACAGAAAACCAAAGTCACCGATGTGGTGCAAAAATCATTAAAGTTGAAATGGGAATACGCTAGACATGTAGCTAGGAGCGATCTAAATAAATGGCACAGATCAATTTTAACCTGGAGACCATACCAACACAAAAGACCCAGAGGCAAACCTCCTATGAGATGGACAGATGATCTGAAAAGGACTGCCGGAAAAATTGGCTACAAGTAGCGTACAATAAAAAACAATGGAAAGGAAGACTTGAAGAGGCTTATGTTCAGATGTGGACGTGAATGGCTAGACAAAGAAGAAGAAGAAGAAGAAGAAGAACTCATACAGACGTAGACAACATAGTGGAGATACAAGAAATAAATGAAGGACAAAAAGTAGAACACATAACAGACGAACTAGAAAAAGAAATTGAAAGAGTTAATTGAGAAATACCTCAGGACTGGAAAAAAGACATTATACTACCAATACACAAAAAGGGAGAACTGTAATAATTACCGAGGTATTACTATATCAAGTATTCCTGGGAACGTCTTCGCAAGAACAATAGAAACAAGAATAGAAACCCAAATAGAACCAACTATGGAAGATATACAATGTGGATTCAGGAAGGACAGAAGTACGTAATACCACATATTCACAATAAGACAAGTAAGTGAGAAAGTGATCAATAAAAATAGAGAAATACATATATGCTTTATTGATCTAAAAAGGCGTTTGACAGAATCCAAAGAAAGGACATATTATGGAGAACATTAAAGGAAAGAGGAGTTGACAGGATAACAATTGATGTAATAAAGGATATGTACAATAATAATACAAAAACGGTGAGAACCAATAACGAGGAATCCGAAGAATTTACTACAAGTCAAGGCGTCAAACAAGGATGCGTGTTGAGTCCACTGCTGTTCTCAGTGGTACTGGATGAAGCAATAAAGAAAGCCAAGAGAAGAATGAGAGAAAACTAACATTAGGATACTGGCAAATGAAACAGACTCAACTATCAGAGCTTCTATTTGCAGACGACTTGGATTTGATAGCAGAAAACAGAGAAGGCCTACAGAACCACCTTAAAATCCTAGAAGAAGAACTGTCAAACATAAATATGAAGATAAATACAGAGAAAATAAAACAATCATAATTTCAAATAAGAGAAAGACACACGCAATACAATTTACCAGAAAACAACTAGAACAAGTGGAACATTTTAAATATCTAGGAGTAATAATTGAATCAAAAAGTAAACAAGACATGGAAATAAATGTTTGAAATGTATGTATATCAATGTATGAAAACAACATTTTTGTCAGTAGTTAGACCCACAATCATGTATAATAGCGAATCATGGACATTGACTGGGAGACAAAAATCTCGAGTCAATGCTATGGAAATGAGGTTCCTGAGGAAAATAGCAAACAGAAAGAGGGCGGACAAAATAAGAAACGAAACAATCAGACAAAACCTAAAACTAGAACCTATAAACGAGAAAATAGTAGAGGGGCAACTAAGATGGTTCGGACACGTGTGTAGAATGTCGAATGAAAGATTAACAAAACGAGTGTTTGAAACGACAGTGCAAGGGAAAAACAAACAAGGAAGACCAAGAGTTGACGACGAAATCAGAAAAGAAGTTGAGAAGAAAGGATTGACATGGGAAAGTGCACGAAATCTAACACAAGACCGAAAAGCATGGAGACAACAGTGCAAAACTTAACTCCACGAGCCTTACACCTAACGGTAGAAAGGCTTAGGACAAAGTAAGTAAGTAAAAGCACAGGCATGGCACAGGTCAATGGGCACAGATAAATAATTGTAACGTATAAGACTTGTTACAAACATAAAATAAACTCTTTTCTCTTTTCTGAAAAATGATTGCAAAAGGATTTTTTAAACAAAACCAATATAGCGTAACCTCCAAACAAGACGTCAAATACATATTTTTATTTATTGATAAAACAGTTTTTATGACAAAGCTAGTTTGCAAAAACATAACCTTTGTTTTTACACTTTTTACATAACCTTCAAATGTGTGAGAAACATTCTTGGTTTTTTATTTATACCTTCGACAAAAAAAAATTGTTCACGAAATTTGGTAAGAACTTATCTTTTATATCTCAAACTAGTTCATGTTGTGAAGCAGCTCCCGTAAGAAAAATGTTTCTGATTAGGTTTCTTTGTGGATTCTGGTTTAAAATAACCCTTTTAAACAAATTATATTCTAAAATTGGTAGATTTCGAGTTATAAGCGATTTAAAATCTTAAAAGAAAAATGCGAAAATAAGCATTTTCGAGGCTTGAAAAGTCATATGAAAATTATTATTTTTGATGTGGTCAAGTGTCTAAATTGAAGCATCCAGTTTCAAGATTCTTGAGAGCAATCGGAGCTTATTTCCATTTCCTGTTAATAAAAAAAATTTAAATAATTTGTGCCCATAGTTTCGCCCGGCACCTTTTAGATTTGTTTATAGGGGACCTTTTTGAACAAGATTGCGCAAAGAAACCGAATTAGAAACATGTTTTCAAAGTGGAAAATTGAAAAACACCAGATTGTAACGTCGGCAAAAATAAGGCAATGGCGTGGATTTTACAGGTATAAAAATTAATCGTTTGAGATGAATGTAGATACAAGGGACCCCACTGTAATATAGATGTAATGTAAATAGATGAAGGTAGATGTAATGGCCCCACAAGGGGCCATTACAGGGACTGAACAGAACTTTAAAAGATATTCGTGACAATCAAAAACATTTTTGGTTGAGTCATAATTCTATTTGCAGATTGTTCCTTATTTATTAATTATCCCCCAAATAACTGCTGCGGACAAACTAAACACATGCCTAATATCAGCCAATTTGTCTTTACATGTCACCCAATTTAGATAAAAATTATACTGTCCATAAACCGAAAACAAAACTTCATCATTTAAATTCAATATCTTCTAAAATTGTCGTGAAGACCAAAAAACAAATAATATTTTATGTACGGTATAAATAAACGTACCAAATAATAAAACTAAGAAGCTATTCATTCAGCACATGTTTGGAAAGTTTTAGCACATTCAAATATTAATCAAACTGTATGTCTTAACTACTCATTTTTAAAATAAACATTTTTAAAACACTTACCTCTGTAATATTGTAATATTCACCTTCACTATCACTTTCAAATGAATCATAGAGGATATCTTCATATTCGGGTGTATCATCGTCATCACTGTGTGATTCTGAAAAGAAGATACAAGTATGAGAGTATGTACCTACTAGAATGTGTCTAAAATTATTTATGTATAATGCAATAATTAAATATGTAACATCTGATAGAAAACTCGTCTAAAGATGTAGATTGAAAAGTAAAATATTAGAGTAACCATACAACTACTAACCATAATCAAGAATAACCATTATTTTTGCCTTATCATTAAATTTTTCAAAACAGTTGTGGTATTATAAACACATTAAAAGCTTATTTAATTCGTTACACAGTATTAATACATTAGTTTAACAAAAATTGCAGTCAAAATAAAATTTAAATATATCTTCTTTTTTTTATGTAATAAATTTTCTATATTAGGTTAAAACGGTCTAATCATAAAGTTAGTATCAAGTGCGCAAAGAACTGCGCCTCTGGTACTCCTACTTCTATTGAGGCATTAAGCATCAGTATTTGTGCGTACCAATAGGCATAGTAGATGAGACAATTATAAAAACTAATGAGGTGCATGGTAGCATGTGAATGAGCGAAATAATTGATAAGAGACTGGAAATAATTTTATTGTAAGCATAGATGACTTAACTGTATATCTTATTTTTATGGATCTTTGAATAAAGTACGTCTTAAAATTTACGCAACAAATAATATCGATATAGCTGTGTATTTTTGTCAAAAAGTATTAAGATGTACACTCACATGCACGAAAACCGGAGCATTTGCATTTTTAAAATAAAAACTTCTTTTTTTAATTTTATTTCTCTTTAAACTTTTATTATTATAATAACGTAAACACAAACGAAACAAACTGTTTTAAGTAATTTCTAATAAAAATTTAACTTTTGAACAAATAACTATTTCAGTATATAACAATATAAAGGTCAATTATTGAAAACTTATATCGTGTGCCCGGACAAACTGATCTGAATAATAAATGTGTCGTCCTCGTGCTCTAATTATTGCCTGAATTCTCCTTAGCATGCCTAAAATCAAATGAGAAATGCCTGTTGAAGAATAATTTCCCATTCCTCTAAAAGGGCTTCTTGTAACTTATTTAAGGTTAAAGGGGCAGGAACACGACTTCGTATCCTTCGCCCAAACATGTTCCTTACATTTTCAATTGGGTTTGCGTCTGGTCACAATGCTAGCCAATCCATTAGAGGAATGTTTACTTCATTTAAAAACTGTTAAGTGATTCCCGCAATGTGAGGCTTGGCATTATCATGCATCAGAATAAAGTCATTTCCAAGAAAACCAGCATAAGGTACAACAAAATCTTGGAGAATTTTATCAATGTACCTGGCAGCTGGTATGGAGCCTGTACAATGTACAATTCTCTACGTGCCTCTAGAGAAATTCCAGCTCACACCATAATTGACTCCCCTTGACAGCCTACCCTAGGACTGAAGCAAAACGCTCATGTGGTCTTCGCCATACTTTGTGACAGCCATTTTGTAGGCCTGTTGCAGGTCTACGACTGCTTAAATTTGCTTCTCCAAGTCTCCAAGTCTTTATCAAAATGGTCGTTTATTTACGTTTGTATTTCAGAAATAGAAGAAGATATACAAGGAATAACAAATATTGAACTATATTATTTTCCTGTTCTTTTTATGTAGGCATGACTATCTGTTTTTCGATGTGCCTCCAATAAGCTATCGTCTGATCGCTTTCGTGGTCTTCCTACTAATCGTCTTCCTATTGGAGAACCGTATCTTGTTATAATAACCAAGCCACATCAAATCGTGGGAGGGTCAGATAGTATGTATATATAAAAATTTTAAAAAATCTTTGACAAAATAAAAAGTAAGAACCTTCATTGATTGGACCTTATATATATTATTGCTCTAAAATACCAGTATATTCGATTTACGTTGGAGAAAACTATTCCTTATATATAAATGTATGAAATCAAGTCGCCGTTTTAAAATTTAAAATAATTTTTATACACACGGACTTGTTTTTACAATTTTTGTTTACTAGGTCAGTAGTAGCCGTAATACTTATTATTACCGGTATTAAATTACGTAATTATACTAACGTGTGATTCGACCTAGACCCCAAATATGTAATTTGGGGTCTAGTATTTTCCTCATTTGGCAACCGCCTATAGCAAATTTTGGTAATATTAATCACAGTATCGATGATAGATACTTTTAAATTTGACAATATTATTTCTTAGATTTATTGGTTAAATTGTGTTCCTAGAAGTAAATTTTATTTGTAAAATTAGCAATTAAACATTAGAAATAATAAGCAATAAGACAAAAAAAATTTTGCAGACCCATTAAGAAAAAATGACAACTATATTACAGACGTTATACTAATACCATAAAGAATTGACACCAACCTCCAATCGTCTGTCATGTTCTTTCTCTTCTTTCTTTTTACATTGTAAAAAAGCATTCCCAAATCAAAGATAATGATGTAATAGATTGCTTGCAAAAAAGTTATGCAACTTTGAACTAACTTCTAAAATTTTCCTTTTTTGTTTCCCTTTTTTTGTATGGGGTAGACCATTTTCCATTCCTTCGTGTCATCTTTTTTAGCACATTTCTTATTTCGTTTCCAGACATATGTGCCACCTGTTTATCTGTCTTTTATTTCGTAAGTTAAGGGGATATATCATTTTTCTTGTAATAATTCTCTGTATTGGTTCTATCTATACCCTTTCATGGATATGTTGTCTGAAATTTTTCAATGTTATCCATGCCTTCATTGCTTTTGAGCTTCCCATTAAGCTATTTATTTCTTTACATTTTTTTACCAAAATTGGTTTTTTCCTTAATTTATTTATTTTTTTGTTTCATAAGTTTACCTTCTGTATTCTTGATCTGCTGTGGTCAGCCACTTTTGATAGCTTTCTTCCCTTCTTTTATTTGGTTTTATATCTATGCTGTCCACCAATATGGTTTTTTGTTTTTATAATTTATGTGATCATTATCTCTTCTAATTGCTTCTGCTGCTGCATTTGAGTTTTCATACTAAAGCTATAAAAATAACTGCTGAGAACCTCTACAACATATTTTACAAAACAAGCTTTTCTGACCAATACTTTGAAAAACACATCGATGTTTAATACAAAATGCTTGGTCGCAGAAATAATTGCGAGAATTTAAACTTACAACCACCCTACGCTGGCCCTCTTTCAATCCCTGAAAATAGAAAAAAATATTTGTTGCAATTATGCAAATCCAGAGCAATCCCAGAACGACATCACCTTTTTTTTGAGAATTTGAAGTAAATTTTATCATATTAATTTTAAGTAGTTTTTGTTAGAAATTAAGTTTTTTTTATTTTAAGTTATAAAAATTAAACATGTCTGCTAAGTAACAATTTGTGTACTCTATACTAGTCCCTATAAAAAATGAGGCTTTATGAATATTAGCTCAACCCAGACTACCTATGTTAATGCAACAGTGGGATATTTTACAATGTTTTTTCTGCGTTACAGATAAAATTGTTAGAAAATTAGCATTAAAGGTTAAGCTCGAATATTAGGAGACTAATATCCAATAAAAATAAACTTTTAGTCACCTATTTCTGATTTTTAATATGCCATGCAAACTTTAGCCCTCATTATCTTATAGTTTCAATTTGACATGATATCTCACTGTTATTTTCAGCCACCGATATCCAGAAAATTTAAAAATTTTGATGGATAATTTACAGCTTATCAGATCAGGATTTAAAAGATGATTTAAGTAATTATTCAGTAGAGCTGGAAAGACATATACAATTAATTTATATTTGGTCTCAACAAAAGTACAGAAATTATCTGGAAGTTCAATGCATTGTATATTTGGATGCAGTTTTATTTCACCGTTTCCAATATCCATCCAATTTTGGAAAAATATTTTCGTTGATAGATCATTTTGCACTTGTACTCTTATGTTTACTCTTATGTTTTGCACTTGTACTCAATCGAACTGTTTGCGACATTTCACCATGAAAATGAGGATTTTAATTTTACTCGCATGTGTAAAGAAAGGTATAACCCATAATGTCAGACATACCCAGACAGTACTAAGACAGCACCACCGAATGGTTTGTCGTTGCCATTTAAATCTTGTATCGATGCTTATTAAAATACAAATCAATGCAACTTTAATGAAATGTGCAATAGCTAAGAGATGTAACAATTGTAGAACGGTACTCAGAAAACATCACCAATAGGCTAAGGAATCAAAATGTAAATGAAAAAGGCCAAAAATATATAGATCCCTAATGGACCAGAATAAAAGAAGATATTGAAACAGCAGCAAAACATCAAATCGGACCAGAAACTTGCCTACAAAGTGCATGGGTTTGGGCCTTTGATAACACAGTTGCAGCGACACTTTCAAGAGAACTTTTATACAACTAGAAATGTTACGGTAGATGAAAGTATGGTTACTTTTAAGGGGCGAAGTTCTCTCAGACAGTATGTGCAAAAAACCCCATAAAAAGAGGCTTTAAAGTCTGGATTGTTGCATGCTCCGAAACTGGATACGTGCACAAATTTAGCATATATGAAGGCAAATTTCAATCACAATAAGCTGAATAAAGTTTAGAGGTTAAACGGTCTCTTAGAGACGGAAACTACTGCATTTATTTCGATAATTTTTCTCTCGAGCTTTCCTCTTCTTAAGAAAATGTTAAGCTATGATTTGTTTTGCTGTGGAACTTTTAGAATAAATTGTAAAGGCTTTCCAACATAAATGAGAAAGGACAAAACTATAAAAATAGAAGAACACGATTATTTTATGTCCAATGATATGTCTGTTGTTAAATGGAAAGTTCAGGGCGCAAAGGAGTTCTAGTCGGCAGTACTGTGAATAATCGACTTGAGATTACTACGGTTTTACGAAGAAAAGCGAATGGTGAACAAGAAAGTGTCAAGTGTTCAAAAGTCATAAGTGGTGTCACAATCGCTATATGGGTGGAATCGATATAATCAGTCAACAAAATGACGTCTATTACATCAAAGCCAATGAGTCAACTATATTTTAGAAGTGTATTGGCCAACGAGCTCGTAGATGATTTACGTAACAGAAAGAGGCCAGGAATAAAGGTAACAATAGAAAGAAATAAACTGAAGAAA